AAATGAGAAAGCCTTAGAAAAAGCAAAGTAGTATTGAATGGTAATTGAACTCATGGACTTTTATTCATGTAATTATAAACATAGACCTAGGCATAACATAAACAAAGACATGTAGATAAAAATTTCCTTTTGTTGATTGCAAAGGCTGAGATGCAATTGTATCCCAGAGGCATTTAGGGCACCGGTGCCCATCAAATGGGACCAGAACTCCCTGGAGAATTTCTGATTCCAGTCAGTGCAGGGAAAGAACAAGATGAGTCTGCAACTTTGTTTTTTACCTCATTCCCCTCACTTTCTCTCCCCTTCCCTTATTCTCCTTCATCTACTCTATTGATCTTCCTTCAGCTCATTTGTTTACTTTTGATTGGTACTTTCTCCATTCATATGTATAAAGTTGGAATTCCCTGTGATGTATTTATATATGCACAATGAAATCTCATTATATTCATTCCTTATTACCTCCCCATTCCCATTGCTCCTCCCTCTGTCTCAATCTCCTTTCTCTACTCCACTAATCTTCCCTATATCTTTATGATGTATGATTCCTGCCCAACTTTTCCTGTTACCTTTTGCATGTGAGAGAAAAATATTCAAACCTTTATTTTCTGAGTCTGGCTTATTTTGCTTAGCATGAAATTCTCCAGTTCCATCCATTTACCCACATAATTTCACTCTTTTTTATGACTGAGTAAAAGTCCATTGTGTATATATACTACATTTTATTTATCCATTAATCTATTGATGAGCATCGCGGCTGGTTCCATAATTTGGCCATTGTGAGTTGTGCTGCTATAAACGCTGATGTGGCTGTGTCACTGTTTTAGTCATCTTTGTTTGCTGCTGCAAATAAGACCCAAGCAGAACAAGTGAAGAGAAGGAAAAGTTTATTTGGGGGCTCATGGTTTCTGAGATCTCAGTCCACAGACAGCGGGCTCCTTTCCTTGGGGTTTTAGGTGAGGCTGAACATCAATGGCAGAGGGAAGCAGATGGCAGAGAGAGACTCCACTTACCAGAAACAAAATATATAACCCAAAGGTACGCCCCCAATGCCTCACCTGCTCCAGTCACACCTTGCCTTCAGTTACCACTCAGGAATTGGGTTAAGGCTTTCATAACCAAATCATTTCTCCACTAACCTTCTTGCATTGTCTCAAACCTGGGCTTTTGGAGGATACCTCACATCCAAACCATAACAGTAGGATTTGTATCAAAGTCTGACTTTAAAATATTTTTATTTACATCCTCATTTCTCTAACAAATTTTCATTTTAACAACATTGAGAGAACAAAACCCTTAACTAACATGCAAAGGCCAGATAGTAATTATAGTGAATTTTTATATAAAATGTATCATGTTTATGATAGAATATTAATAACTAAAAACAAAATAAATGATAAGCTACTTTGAAAATTCTAAGTAGTACAACTAAATTACAGCTCACTAATAAATGTATATAACCAACAAACACATTTTAAAAATTTATTTCCTTTTTAACATTTGTAGTAGTTTTCTAGGCTGTCTACAATTGAATAATTGGTAGAAAAGGAAGCTGGCTAAATATGTGGAAGTGTGAATAGCATATTTATAAGCATGCTTAACTAGTTAGATTATTTAACATGAGCACTACTTTAGAAGCATACTTTATGCTTATATGTGATGTGCCAGTTTGATATGTCTATTACTGCAAAAATGTTAGCACCTTAGTGATTTATTTGAAAGCCACATAGCAACATTTTCTTGAAAGAATTAATATCAGATTTTTCACTCAGGCTGGACTTCCTTCAAATTAGCATGGATTGATGGGCTGTTTCTGCTTCTGAATTTTCTCCACTAATATGACAGTTGGATTTTATCATCAAAGGCCTTTTCTGCATCTATTTAGATGATCATATGATTTGTGTCCTTAGTTCTGTTTATGTGGTGAATTTCATTTATTGATTTACATATGTTGAACAAATCTCTGTAACAATTTTTACACCAAAAAATAGGTTAATAATTAAAAATATTGGGAATATGTCAAAAGGACTTTGGACCCCACTTAACAGAACGCCTACAGGATGAATCTTGGATAATTTGAGTATTAGAATAAATCATGATTACAATGCCTTTTAATCTATTGGAATAGAAAAGAATCCATGAGTCCATACAAATAAGTAAACAAACAACTATGAAAAGAAAACTCATTTTTACAATAGAATGTTAGTAAAGTAATGGAGTTTTTTAAATCAGCCTTTTGCAACTGTCATAACAAAAATTAAATCAGGGAAGGATTATTAGTAGATATTAAAACTAGTAGACAAAAATTAATAAAAAACATTGTAACTTATAAAATTTATTAAACTTATTAAATTTTTAAAATAAAAACCATTATAACTTATAAGTATCTTTATAACTTATTGAATTTAACTTATTAAACTTTTTAAATACAAAAAACATGTAACTTATAAGTATCTTCTCACAGTTACTTATAAGTTATAATGAGAAAAATACCATCTGTACAGAAAAGCCTGGTAAGCACCAAGTCATCAGATCTGCCACAATGATAACAGCACAAATGAACAGTATGTGCCTCCAAATATGAAGCATTGAGGGAAAATATCATTGATGTAGCATTCCTGCCAAAAATGCATAGCATGAACTTAATCATTAGAAAATGTCACACAAGCCCTATTTAGGGGAGAGTCTACAAATAAAATATTTAAACTCATCAAAAATATCAACATTACTTGTTAAAGACTAAGAAATTTCTACTTAGCTATTTTGCCAGAAACTATTGTATATTGTAAGAGGCCAAAGAGAAAGGAAAATTTAATGCAAGGAATGGTTCTGTTTCAGATCCTTGATCAGAAAGGAAAACATCATAAGGGACATTATTGAAAATATGAACAGAATTTGATTTATTTATAAAGTAGATTGTAGTATTATATCAACATTAAATTTCCCATCTGCAGTTGTGTAAGTTAATGTCCTTGAACTTAGGAAATGTTTGCTGAAATATTGGGAGCAGAGGGGCATGATGACTACAAAGCACTTTCAGAAAGTTCAGGCAAAAAAAATATGGGAACACACATAGTTAGAATGTTAACAATTAGTGCAGCTTATACAAGAGTAATTCATACTATTCTTTAAACATTTCTGCATATTTGAAAATATTTCTAAATAATATTTGAGTTGTAACACGTTTACATTTTTAGGTTGTTAAAGTAAAACAAGCTCACTGTAAAATATACACCATGTCCTGAAAATTATAAAGTAGAAATTGCAAATCCTGTGTAATTCCATGATCCATTAAATCACTAGTATATTCCTTCAGAATGATTTTTCACTACATATTTTGGATGTAATGAGTATACCAAAAAAGACATAACATCACATAAACACTATGTAAAAAAGAGGTGACTAATTTTTCTCATACTGACCTTTTTTATTTTTATGTTGGGAACTCGACAATCTAGCCACTTTGAGAGAAATTCAATGGCAATGAGGACTTTCCGAGTTAAATTCAGTTCAGGGTTGTAACCACCCAACATTATTTCCCCATGGGAGTATCTAAAGCCCAGGGAATCTTATCTAGTTTCCAAAACTATGGTGAGGCAAGAGAAGATTGAAGGAATTGTCTCTAGACATAGACACTGTTGCTGAATATCTGGAAGTAGTTCTCTGTGTCTCCCTCTCTGTATTTTTGGCCTCTCTGTATTATACATTTTGGACTGCATAAATTTTTCAACTAACATACAAGTGAAAAAAATATATTTTAAGAATCCAATTGGCCAGGCATGGTGGCGCATGCCTGTAATCCCAGCAGCTCAGGAGGCTGAGGCAGGAGGATTGTGAGTTCAAAGCTCAGCCTCAGCAAAAGTGAGGTGCTAAAGCAAATCAGTGAGACCCTGCCTCTACATAAAATATAAAATAGGGCTGGGGATGTGGCTCAGCAGCTGAGTGCTCATGAGTTCAATTCCTAGTACCCCCTTTCACCACCCCCCACAAAAAAAAATCCAATGGCACTAACATTTCCATTAGTAGTAGTTAGTGACCATAATTCATTTGAAATCCTGGTAGAAAAGAAAATGATAGAAAGTATTTTCCTTGAAGCTCAAGTCACAATGTTTTTCATTAGCAACAAAAACTTATGACGTTGGGTGAACTCATCTTTATAACAGAGAAGAATCTGGGACTTCACCAGTCTGGCAATCTAAGAATCTGACCAACAGTTTGCCTTCAAATGACTAAATACTGGGATCTCTTGTGTTCACAATCATATTTTGAAAAAGAATAGAAATACATATACAGAGTTTTAAAAATTTAAGCAATACCAAGGCACAAAACAAAAATTTTATATCCCTTTATCTTCTCATTATAAATTCCTGCCTCCCCAACACCAGGGCCTCATTATATAAATCAGGGTTGGCAAACTATAGCCTATGAGCGAAATCCAGCCCTTGCCTGTTTTTTTGTCAAGATTTTTTGGAACACAGCCACTCCCATTCCTTTGACATATTATCTATAATACATAGAGCTACTTCTCTGTTTATACAGATGGAATAAGTAGTCCATTGTTTAAATTCCATGTTTTCTGATCTTTGAAATATGTGTACATTTGTGCAAATGACATCTATTTGGACAATTATTACAGGTGAAATTACTGAACCAAAGTTATGTGCATTTTTACTTTATTAAATATTGTCTAGTGGCTAAATGTAAAAAGTTTTATGACACATTGTAGAATTGATGCAATTCCCAAGCAAGACCTATTCCTTTTGTTATTCTTTTTGTTTAGATAATACTGAGCAGAAAAATATAGCCCAAGGCTATGAATGGGATAATAAATACAATAGGAAGGTAGAACATGGGAAAAATGCAACTTTTAAATAATGCACAGTCACAAAAATATAAAAGAAGAGCAAAGGATAATGAAAATTGAGCAACATGACTCTTGGATTAGTTAAGGAAAAATAGAAAACTTTATTTTATGATTTTCCAACAGAAAATACCATCAACATTTTGCCAAAATTGTTTCATACATTAAGTTAAATACTAGTTTCAGATGGGGGTAAATATGTCTTTAGCTGCAAAATTTCAGAGACAGGCTGTGCTTTTTCCTGGTAAAAGTCAAGTCCAGTAAGAAGTTCTACATCACGAACCCGGGCAATATGTGCTTTAAATCTTTCTTTAATCCAAACATCATCTTTTTTATTTTCCTGCAAGGAGAAAAAAAAGATTGTTTTTCCTAGGGCATGATTTTTCATTAACAGATATATATTTTATTATTTAGAAGTAATATTTTTATAAAATGTATTGCCTTAAATCTTTATTTGATACAATTAAATTTTGTTTAATAAAACAAAAAGTGAAAAATGTACTATAAGAAACACAGGCTGCCACAAAAGCATAAAGTTTAGCCACTTTTATATTTACTTCAAATGTAAGTTTTTAAAGGAAATATATTGCAGATGAAGGTAAGTTCCCAATGTTTCTTGGTTTTTAGGTAAACATTACTATGAGTCAGTGTGAATCCATAATAATTTTTAAACTTTCACTACACATCAAAATATAATATATAGTATTGGTCTATGAGTCTTCAAATTTATATAAGTGACATAATAAGTGGTATGTTCCAATGATTTTTTTCATTCATTTTTATGTTTATAATCTAGATAGTGACATACCCAGATCTAGTCAGGTCATTTGTTTTTATCTAGAGTTTGTGATAGTACCTCATTTTAATGTAGCATAGCTTATTTTTTTTCAACTTTACCTTTTCAAATGAAACTGTCATGAATAACTAACTGGGCCTCCTTGGTTTACAAGCATGGGTTTCTAGGATATATAAATGAAACTTCTGGGTCATAGAGCATCTACAATTTTAACTTAACCAAATGTAAACATGGCACTCCTCAAAAGGTCTATGCTAATATATACCTCACAGCAAGTGAAGATGCTCTCTGTATCCCCAAATCTTTGTCAATCCATGGGTGTGAAATAGCATTTTGTGCCTGTTTAAATTTTATTACCCTGAATATTTTGATAGTTGAGTATTTTTTTGGTTATCTTTTAGCCATTTAACTTTTACCAAGTTTTTACCATATAAAAGTTAGTTCCATGTATTTCTGTGACACATTCTTTATTAATTTTGTATTTATGTGTGTGCATGTGTGTGTGTGTGTGTGTTACTAGGGATTGAACATTGGGCTGTTTTACAACTGAACCATATCCCCATCCCTTTTTATCTTTTAAGACAGGGTCTTGCTAAGTTGCCCAGGCTGGACTTGAACTTGTGATCCTCCTGCCCCAGCATCTGAGTAGCTGAGATTACAGATGTGTACCCCTGCACCTAGTTTTAATTTTCTAATATTCAATATTTCTGATATCATTACTTTTCAGTTAAATTTTCACAATGTTTCAACATATGTTTATTTTAATGAATGTGTTTTAGTCACTCTCATTTTACTTAAGCACAGTGGTTTGCTTGTTTTTTCAGTATGCAGACTCAAAAAACAGGCAGCCACCCTTTAAGTAAGACAAAGAACAAAAAAGAGGAAGTCACTTTTTGTTCCTAACCACTAGAACATTTTTCTGTGTGACATTCATGTTAGTTAATTTATTTTCAATGAAAATATGGTGTGCTAAGTTAAGCTTAGTCTTCCAGTGGGAATCTAACTCAGTCTTTTTTTTACATGCCTTTACTATTTCATACTTCAGCAGCATTTAATATTTCTGATCACCTTTTTCCCATAACATTTTTTCCCAGTTAACTTACATGATTCTCTCTCTCTTTCTCCTGGCTTATTTGTTATCCATCCAACCAAGTATTACCAAACACCTGACAGTCTTCCTTCTTTTAAATTGCAGTAAAATAATTGTGAAGTACCATATGCAGCTGTATGTATGCAGAGGTGATACTGGAAATTTAACACCAGCTAAGTCACCTGCAGCAGCCAATATGAACAGCAGCCACCTATAGATAATTCTCTAGTTGTACAGTGCACCTCAGCCTAAGAGCAATATTACATATATATGGTTTATGAGCTATTTAAATATATGCTTTGATTTTATGTAATACATGTTATTAGTGTATCTTAGCCCTGTGACATAAACAGAAGAACTACATACCTACCAAAATACAGCTCACTTTGTTCATTTTTTGAGGGATATCAATTTCAGTTTTTTTCTTTCTTCCTAACCACTTCCTCATTCTCTCTCCATAACCCTCGGTCTGCATATTGCTGCTAGCACACCAAGGCAGCTGTTTTGCCAGGGGAACCTCATTAGTGAGTGTCTGCGGACCTTTCACTGAATGGATTAGCCCAAGCTTTAGAATGTTCCTCCTCTGTCTTCCATAGCTCTACTAACCATCCCTCATTTGGCGATAGCTTCTATTTTCTTATCTGCCTCTACTTCTTCCCATCCTTGAGTTTTCTCTCAATTTGACCTTAGGATTTTTCCTTTCTACTTTCTTTCCTCTGGCAATTTTATTTTGCTCCCTTGACTTAATGCCAAATAGACATGTTTTCTGATTTCTTTTATAATACCATACCTATATTTCCCCATATCTTCTGAGTAATTTATAATAATAGTTAGTTAAACTCATGGCTACATTTTCATTTTTCTGACAGGAATTAACATCCAAAGTTAAAGAAAAATAAAAAGGAAGAAGGGGGAAAGATTGAAGGAATAGGGAAGCAAATAAATAAATAAATAAATAAAAAGAAATATGAATCTAGTTCTCTAAATCAGGTGTGGGGTGAAATTGTGAATCTATAATTCCTATAGCTTGTCTCAGTTCCCTCAAACCTCTTTCAGTTGGTACCTTTGTGCACTGGTTAGAAGACATAAATGTTCTGAGGTTTCACACATGCAACCCTTAAATCATGACAACTATTTCATCAGGTGCTTGTAGCATAACTACCTGTTCTTATGCTAGTGAAAATATTAGCTGGCTTGAACTAAGGAACACTTTGTGCATGTATTGTACTTCCTAAGTGATTTGACTATGGGGATTTACTTTCATCTTATGTTGTCTTTAGGATGCAAATCCATCATAAGATATGATTCCTTTAAAGGGCCACCATTCACTTACTACATTTTTTTATGAATCATCTCATTTTATTCTCATGACAACTTTATAAAGGGAGATGAAATTTTTTATTCTTATTAGATATAACAGATGAGGAAACTGTTATTAAGTTAACAGTTAAATTAGGTCAAGTTACTAACTAATCCAAGATGTCTAAACCCTAAACCACACATTTAAGTCCTATTCTGCACTGTTTCTCTTATGTTCTAAATACATAATTAGTCTCAAACTGAAAACCACCAAGAGAAATTCATCCCTCCCCCAAACAACTCCTTATCTTATACATTTCCTGGCCAGTCATTTTTAAATTATCAGGCACCTCTAATTCTCATCCTGCTTCCTCTTCCTCACAGTTAATTGACATCTGCATCTTATTAACTTCACCATCTCTCATGTAGTCATAACTTGCTTTGTTTCATACTCATCACATTATGACTCAGAATGATACATATGAATATCATATCCTTATTAATAAACCACAACTTCCTCAAAACTCTGGATTGTGGATCCAACCCATTGGTGATGATGTCCTGTTCAAAAGATATGGTGCCCTATTGTTTAGGGGAGATTGTTTCCATGTTGGATGATCAGGGAAGGCTTCATACAATTTGCAATTAACTTTATAGTGCAGGTGGAATTTTTAGAAAATGGAGAAGGAGGATATTCTAGAAGCAAGAAGAATACAGGCAACAGTGATGAGGTAGGGAAACTCAAGACATGTGCAAGAAATTTCAAGGACTCCATCCAGCCTGAGCATGAGCTTGCAGCATCAACTGAGAGTCAATTGTGAAGAGATTTAACTACAAACTGGGAGTTTTTTGTTTTGCTTTGCTTTTTTTTCAGTATAGATGATCAAAAATTTTGGTATGAAGGAGTATGACATAAGCAAAAATGAAATTTTAAGATGAGCAAGTTGGTATTGGTGCACATAGGTGAAGAAGAGGACAACAGATAGCAAAGCTACTTAAGATTTGTTTTCAAAAGTCCTGAGAGAGGGTCATAAGGATTTAGACCAGGGATGGCAAATAGTTTCTTCTTTGTATGTCCATTATAATCATCCTATAATGGCCACCTAGTGCCTCAGTGATAACTGCTTGACCCCGATTCCTGGGTGAAGAGTACCATACTCTATCACTTGTCAGTGTCTGCTCTTGGAAGAGGAAGTGAAGATTGGTGCTTTACCCTGGTCTCAGTAAAAAAAAAATGATGACAGAAAAAATAGGACGGGATTCAACTTAACAACATCTGAGTTTCTTGTTTTGAAACTATCCTCCCTTATTTTAGGACTATGAGTGACTCACTATTCAGCATCTGACATTTGTCCTCCATCTTTAGTCAAAGAAAGACTGCTCAAACACTCTAGTCAAATCCTCTCTGCATGACTGAGCTAAAATATCACCTTCCCTACCAAGAAGTATTTATGCTTTGAAATTTAACAGCACTTTTCTGTCTCTCTGTTGAGCTACTTATCTTGCCTTCTTCCATTTTGCTAGGCTTTTAGTAAAATGTAAATGCTAGGCTTCTAATAAAAGTAATTGCTAATAAATACAAGTACTTTCCATGATATAACATGGTGAAAACAGATTTCTTATTGAAAACATGACAGAACATATGTAAAACTCCATCTAGCCTAGAGCCTAAGTTTTAATTTCCAGTCTCTAATGGTCAATAGAATTTTTTGTGTGAATACCTATTTCCACAAACCTGACATGCCTAAACTTAACCATCCTATCTATCTACCAAAAAAGTTATCATTCCTCTTTTTGTATTTTCCTTAATTATCTATATTTTAAAATCTCAGATTCAGCTTTGAGTTTACATTTTCCTTTGGCTCTTCTGTCCTATTGTTACCAAGTCTTCTCCATTCTTCACACACTATTCTTAGTCTTCTCAACTTATACAAATTCTGCCCATTGTCTAGGGCTCAGCCCTACTCTCACTTCATTTTATAAAACCTTTATTGATTATGACAACTAAATATGTTCTTAACTCCAAACACCGAATCCTTTTAACAGTATTTGACAACTGAACCCAACTTTGTGACATATCTTAATTTTTAACTTTTAAAATAATTCTTACATTATTGACTGGCCCATTTATGTGTCAGTACCTTATTTATATATCAAAGTCATATATAAACTTCTTAAGAGAAGGGACAATGTATTCCTGTTTTGTGCATTCTAAAGTGTTTATATATTCAAACTGAAGTAACTATTCACACAAAATTTGCCTAACCTAACAAAGAATGTTACTTAAGCTAACTTATTGTGTGTGTGTGTGTATGAGTATGTGTAAAATTAATTTCACACCTCATGTTTCAAATTGATAAAATTTTTATATTTACATGTTCATTGAGGAAACATGAATTTAAAGCCAATCTTAGGATAGAATCTTAAGATTTGTGTCCAGAATAAAAAATTAATGAAATTGTCCTTTCCCTGGTGAATGTGTGTGTGTGTGTGTGTATGCAGATACATGTCTGATATTAATGACAGAGATCAGTCACCTGTAGAAAACCTTAAAATTGAGTCATTTTTAATTACAACTATGCCCATACATATTTTTAGAGCCACTTTTATGAAGACCCAAAGGAGCTCTGAGCAATCATTTTCTGAGGTCCCAGGACTCTCTCAAAGCATACTCACAGGACAGCTTTCCACATTGGTAGGTCGGTGAGGGATGATAAAAGGTAGGACATCCAACTGCTCGGGGCAATTGTCTGGTACAAAACTCTGGTTTTTACAACTTGTCAGCACCACAAAAAAGTGTGTTGGGATGGAGACGCTGGAGTTGACTACATGTCTAAAAATATAATTTAAAAGATTTGATGTCATTAGAATTTTACTTTGAAGGATCATAAATGTCTTTGTATAGTTTTAAGGAAATGCCAAGGTAAAAATATATTAAAAAATGGTAACAGATGGAGAGTACAATGTTTTATCATATATTTCTTTTAATTCAGTCAGTCAGTACAGATTTATAGCAGAAGTCCAAGATTGGCCATTCTAAAATTATGGGAAAATATCAGAATACAAATTCTGCTTTGCTATGTTTCCTGGCTTTGTTGACTTCATTCTTCACAGTGGTATTTTTTTTTTAACAGAGCAGGAGCTAGAAATGAAGGAGCCCCAATTCCAACTCTGGCTATGTACTTTCACTTACTTAATTATCATTCTATTACTGAGCCTCCTCAGCTTTAATAAGGAAGTGGACTTGTACTACCAACTTGCTATGGTTTGGATGTGAGGTGTCCCCCAAAAGCTCACATGTGAGACAATGCAAGAAAGTTCAGAGGAGAAGTGATTGAGTTGTGAGAGTCTTAACCCAGTGAATTAATCCCCTGATAGGGAATAACTGAACTGAAACTGGCAAGTGGAGTCTCTCTCACTCTGCTTTCTGATCACTGTGTGAGCTGTTTCCCTTTGCTGTGATGTTCAGCCTTACCTTGAAACCCAAGAAATGGAGCTGGTTGCCTATGGACAAAGACCTCTGAAACCCTGAGCCCTAAAATAAACTTTTCTTCCTCTACAATTGTTATGATTGGGTCCTTTAGTCACAGCAGTGAAACAGCAGAGTAAAATACAACATCACAGTGTGGACATAGGGATAAATCCATACAAAAGATATGGCAGTGCTTTGGATTCAAATAAAAAATGTGCAAGTGCTTTGAAAAGTTTTAGGTGTGCAGTAGGGGTAAGATGTAAGTATGAGTCCACTAAAAGGAACATGAGCTGGTATAAATGACTGGTATGTGTGACTCAGAGACAGACTATCTGGGTTCGTATTTTTCTTTACCACTTCCACTTGTGGAATTTGTCTCATATATTACTGTCTTTGCCTCAGTTTACTCTTCTTTAACTGGAGGATATAGGCACTGAATATAAGGTTGTTTTGTAGATTCAATGAAGTATATGTAAATGATTAGAAAATACTTAGCATATAGGAAAGAACATCAAAGTATTTGTCAGCTATTCAGTGATGAAAGGTAGAAAGCAATAAACACTGAAATAAGAAGGTAAACAAAATAAAGACTACCCACTTAGTAGACACAAAGGCTACTTGATCAGAAGATATAGTAGAAACCATTGCCTTATATAAAATAGGCTTAGAAATTATAATTGTTTAGTTTGGTCCTTCCTATATTTTGATAATAAAAAGAAGTGATGGATGAAACTTCTCTCTGAAGCTCTCTATTTCTATTACTGCATTCAAAATTAATTCTCAGCAACCTATTATGAACAGGTTTAATATTGAGATGCACAGTTTAGTTGGATTAGTTTTGCATGTGAAATCTACCTACATTTTCTCTTGGGAGATGTTTTTTATGAACTGTTTAGTATTTTTGTGACTAAGATAGGCAGTCTTTACTTGAGTTTTTTCATTTATTATTGAACTGCTTCTATATTTATCAGTAGCATTTTAAGTTTTCCCTACCTCCTTATTAACTGTTATACAGTCTTTCTTTAACTTTTTCCATTATTAGAAACTTTCAAATGAAAATTTTGCTAAACTCTGCCTGAAAATTTTTTTTGGCCTTTTAGTTTAATTTTTTGCCATTTAATATTTTTGCTAAATATTTAGACTAGGTTGAAAATAGTCAACAATAACATCTGAATATGAATATATCCTATAACACTTAAAATACATAGTTTATGTTTAAAATATCGGGATTTCCCCTCATGATACCTTGTTTCTAAGTCTAAATCCCAAATTAGCTGGCTTGGTGGCTCACACATGTAATCCCAACTACTTAGGAGTCTTAAACAGGAGGATCACACTTTGATACCAACCTGGGAAAATTAATGAGGTTATCTGAAAATTAAAATTAAAAAGGCTAAGAACATAGCTCAGTGGTAGAGCACTTGCCTACCATGTGCAAGGCCCTGGATGCAACCCCTCAGTACTTCCAAAGGTAAAAAATGAAAAATACAAGTTATATTACTTACTCTGTAATTTCATCTGGAGTATCAAAATGGCCATCATAATTATAATCAAATATTGGTCCACTAATCACATTTACTCCATTTTTTTTAGTGGCATATTCTATAAGAAGAACCCCCTGGAAATAGTCCCACATTTCTAAAAATGAAAAAATAAGATGTTAAAAATATCTACCTTTATTGAACATGGTAATAGTTTTTTCCTATAGATAAGTACATTTACACAGTATCATATTCTACTTCTACAATTGACAATCAATGATGGTTTGGTCTTTCTACAAGTAGTTCATGCAACAAAAATAAGCAGCCATGTTGAAGACCTTTTTTTAAAAAAACAATATTTACTTTTTTAGTTGTAGTTGGACACAATAACTTTATTTATTTGGTTTTTTGTGGTGCTGAGAATGGAACCCAGGGCCTTGCACATGCTAGGCAAGTGCTCTACTGCTGAGACCCAAAACCAGCCCCTGAGGACAGTTTTCGTTGCTATAGTTGCAGTCATTAAATTGCAATTAAATATGTCTCCAAATTCTTACATAAAGCTGAATTGTTTTGGAGACAAAAAGTGTTAAAAATGGAACACATATGCTGTCTTATTAATTATTATTCTAGATACAAACATTTACCTTTCACTTACTTATGGTGAGTGTCAGTAAAATTTAGTTTTGTAAATAGCTCTTTGCAGTTAATAGCTAAGATCAAATTATCAGAATTCTAGCAACATGTTCCTCAAAGTTGAAAAGAAGGTCTGTCAGGGATCTTTCTGTACCCATATTTAAAACATCAGAACAAACTTTCAATAATGTAACAAATTGCAATAAAATAAATATTTAATTTGGATATTCCAGGAGTCATTTAGATATTTCAAGATAAAATAAGTAACACTTACTTTTGAATTCTTCATACATAGGGACCATATTACTTGTAACTAAAGCATCATATCGACTATTAGAAGTTCTACTGTTTGCTGAAAAACAAATGGATCCTATTAAATCCAGTTACACAAGAAAATATGATGAACTACCTATTACTGTTATATATTGATGTAAATTTATTAGTAGTCAAAATGCAGAAGTATTGAGTACTTTTTAGTAGAGGTTATCAAGAATGCAAGCAGTTTTATGCATTTGATACTTATAGTGGGTTGAAATATGACCCTCCAAAAAATATGTCCAAGTCCAACCCTCTCACACCTATGAATATAAACTTATTTGGAAATAAGAATTTTTTGCAGATATAGTTAAGGATCTCTAGATGAGATTATTGTTGACTATGGTGGGCTGTTCATCCAATGACTGATGTCTTGATAAGGAGGAGTTTTGAGGACAGAAAACACATCCAGGAGAAGACCACATGAAAATGGACACAAAAATTAGAGTGATACAAAAGCATGCCTGGAGCCACCAGAAGCTTGAAGAGCCAAGGAAGGACTTTCCCCTAGAGCTTTCAGTGGGAGCTTGGTTCTGTTAATGCCTTGATCTTAGATTTCCACCTTCTAAAACTGTGAAAAAATATATGTGTGTTACTTTAAGTAAATAATTTGTTACAGCAGTCCTAGGAAATAAATACAATGCTAGATATAGATGTATAGATATTGAACGTGCACAACATAACAATGCCTTTATGAATAAATCTTCCAAAACAAAATTTTCATAAGAAAATAAATTTTTATTTGTTGGCGACTGCTGATGAGAACATCACAAATAATTGGCTCCGAGGAATTACAGGTGTATCTTGTAGCACAGTGAGTATTAAGCAAGTGTGCTCTGGAAGCAGTTTCCCAAGTTGGGGAGCCCCTCTGCTCACCAGCTATACCACTTGGGCAAAATGTTGAATTCCCCTGTGATTCATTTGTTTCATGGCATCTATCTCATTCAATTATTATCAGAATTAAAAACTGCAAACTTATTAAAGTTTTATTTCAATAAAAACACTTAGCAAGAAATCTACCTTCTTAACAAATTTTTAGTGTAGAAAACAGTATTGTTATCTCTGTGTGTATTTAGTTCGTCTTCTGGTCTATAGCAAAATACCTGAGGCTGGGCACTTACAAAGAAAAGAGGCTTATTTAGCTCACAATTTAGGAGTCTGAAAGTCCAAGATAGGGTGACCCCATCTGTTTGACCTCTGGTGAGGGTCCTATTGGCTAGAACACAACAGGGTGGAAGAAACAGAAAGGGAAATATTGGTGTGCCAGAGAGATCATATGGCTATCAAGGAAACTAGAGATAAAGAAGGGGCCAGCCTTGCTATTTTTATAAAGACTTGCTCTTTTGAGAACTCACTCCCAAGAGATTGGCATTAATCATTTCTGAAGGCAACACTCCAAATGAGCTAATGCTTTGTACTAGGTCCTACCTTTTAAAGGTTCCATTCCCTCTTAAAACTGCTGCATTGGGGACCAAGCCTCCAGCATATGAACACCAAAAGGCAGACCACATCCAAACCATAATGAGGTGTAATATTGTAGAACAGATCTCCAGGACTAATTCAACTTGCTTGACTGAAACTGTATGGCTATTTATTAGTAACTCTCCATTTCCCCCTCCCCCAGCCCCTGACAATTACTATTTTATTCTTTGATGCTATGAATTTGACTATTTTAAAATCCTTCAGTATTTGATAACAGGGATGAACCTTGAAGACATTATGCTAAGCAAAATTTACTAGACACAAAGACAAATACTATACAATTCCACTTCTATGAGTTATCTATTTGAACATTTCTTATATTTGAACTAGTCTGAGTATTTTAACTAAAACTAAAATAGTAGACCAATAGGTAGGCACCACAGTGCAAGGAAGACTATTTCACATAGTGTTCCCAGTACTCAGACCCTAGAAGCCTTTTCTACTTTTTTAAACTAAGCTCTGAAAGTTGGAAAAGCAATCTACAATTACTTCTATATTAGAGAAAAATAAGAAATCACTTATAACGGAATTTCCATTTCTAACAATGAGTTAAAATTTGTAGTAGAAGGTTAGAAGTAAGTTTCATTTTATCATTAATATTTTTGATATAAAATGTTTAGTTATTAATTTAATTTCCTCATCATAACTTAATATGCTAACCAATATCTCAGCTTAATGTCTACAATTTTATTTGCCAAGCTAAAAACTTTTACTAATAACATATTGCAATTTTTAAAGCTTTATCCTAGGATTCACTCACATTTAGAAGGCCTGATTACTCAATCAAGATACTTAAATAAAATATATTAGTTTATTAACTTTAATTCCATGTCAGGGATTAAAATTGATATGCCACTAGCTTTCATTAAGTCTTTTTACTTCCCACTATAGCTCTCAGAAAACAAACAAATAAATAAATAAATAAAATCTGTGGCTATTTAACCCACAGTTCAAAGCTGTTGGGCACACAGCATGAGTTACAGTCCAGAATTCCACTCAGATTTCTTTTCACAGAAACAGCTGCATTCTCAATGGAGAATTTAGCTTGGGAAGTAGCCAGAAAAAAAAAAAAAAAAGGTTTTTTTAGATGCTTGTGTTACTCTCCAAAGAATCTTCCATTTTAAAATTAAACCTAAACCTGTCGACCTCTCTAAACATCTGGGCAGATTAGAGCTGATGCATGCTTCCCGTGGCAAAATTTATTAGTCTTTATGATAGCTGTTGTTCTGCCTTTGGCCAGCCCACAACCACTGGAAGCATCTTAGGCAGCTAGTGAAGCCAGATTTAAAGTTAGGTAGTCAGTGTAGTTAGATAAATCGGGTCTAATGCCGAGTGAAATCTAAAATGGAGGCCATGCTGGCAATGATTCCTGGAAACGCAGGACAACTCATGGAATGTTAATGAAGTCCCGAAAAGGCCCTAGGCCAAAGTCCACCTCAAAGAAATGTTATTGAACAGCCCCCAGCAAAAAGGTGCTGACTCAGAAGTCCTTCCTGACCAGATTACTTCTTTGGCCCACCTGTGTCCCACCCCTCGGGCCTTCCCACCTACATTCCATCACTGAAAGAACTATAAAAAGGGGAGACAACATCCCTTCCATGGATTCCACCTCTTGGGTCCCCTTCTTCCTCCGGGAGAAGTCTTTTCTGCTGTCCTTTAATAAACTTCTAATTTCTACTCTGACCTTGCCTTCTTTGGTGTTATTCTTCAACATTGGGGAAGCAAGGACTCGTCACCGGTCAACAGCGGTAACACTAGTTTAGCCCAAGCAGGTAGTTTTTGTGGGGAGTATATGTTTAAGGCACATGCCCACATCCAGCTGATGAGGGCTTTCTAAGCTATTGCTCTAAAAAAGAGCTCTACTAACCAGGAGGATAGAGGAAGCCGTAGGTGATTTTCTCGTCTGGAAAAGACAAGGAACAATTTTGGCTCTCAAAAGAAGTAACCCTGACATCAACCCGCAGACAGTCTGAGACAGTGGGAGGAGGAGGCGATGTGTCTCCCTGCTGAAAGAGAGAAAAGAAAAAAAAAAATTACACCCACAGTTGTGGCTCACCCATTGCCTTATATGGTTTATAACTTCCCTAGAGTGTTTTTCATTTAACCTCTTCCTATTTTCTTAGTGAATCAGGTCTACGCAAGCAATGCAAATGGGTGTTTTCAGCAATGTTTTCTTGTTTTCTGTGGTTCCCTTCCAGTTAGAGGACATTGGGAGGGCAAATCAAATGCGTCTTGGAAAGGAATCTTTGCAAACTAAAACCTGAATTGTGAACAGAGGAAAAATGGAAGCATTGCCAGAACCCAAAATCTTTTTCAGGATCAAATTTTTATGTGGTGATATATCATGTACATTCAAACAAAAATTGAAAATAAAATAAAAACAATTTATTTTAGAACTATAGACATGAACTGGACAAGAATTTCTAAATAACTTAAGTTTAATTCAAAGAAGATGTAGTTATCTAAACATACTTATTTTTGGACTTAAATAAATTTGTATCTATAATTCACTCATCATGAAATAGGAATTTTCTTTAAATAATTGTCTTTGCAACTCTAAAGACTAATACAATAATTTATTCACTGGGGATATCTTAAAAATGTGCTGCCTAAGCTCAGTATTTAGGGTAACATATTGCATGTTCATTATATTTTACTTAGAATATTACTATGGGTAAGTGAACATTATACAATTTGTTTAATTTTTCAGAGTTGATTTATATGTCTTCTACTGCCCACCATGGATATTTTTCTTAACAAACTTGAAATAATTAAAAAATAAAGTTAAATTAGTATGTTCTTCCTTTATTCACTGCACTGTGCTAAGAGCAAAAACTGGCTATGTTGTCTAAAATGTGTGGTCAATTTGCAAAGAAAAAGGCAATATACACACACCTATGCTGTAGTCATACGCAGGAGAATGCCACGTTGAGGTCTACAGTGGGTAGCAGTTGAAATCAAGGAGAGTCCAGGGAAAGCCAAGAAGAGATTATACTCCCTACCATACTATAAAGCTCCAGTTGGAAAACAAACAGTAGTTGAGCAAACTTCTCAAACTGATTGAACACATACATTTATCTTTACAACCTTCTCAAATTCGATGAGGGAATAAACAGTCACAATGAAGTTGCCAAGCAGATAAACAAGTAGTAATCTGATTGAGTAGATCAGTAAACAGTGACCACCAAGAGCCTATGACTAGGGAAAACAGAAAGAATTGGATTCTTACTGTAGAGGCCCAGAAGGATAGAACTTGGAGTCTACCAGAGAATGTATGTAGTAGGTAGGACTAGAAACAAGAGGACAGGTTAGAAAGGCCATGTAAAATGTTTACTCTCTGGAGAGTTTAAACCAGAGAGATGCCCAGAGTAAAGTTCAGGCACAAAGGGCAGGCACACCATATTGAAAACAATGGGATTAAATAAAACTCCCAATATCATTACTCCATTTAACCTGCAAATCATATTCACTGGGTCAGATCTGAAGTGCTCTGTCTTTGGAAAACAATCAAACCTGAAAGTAAAACTAGATACTTACAATTGGAAGTCTAAAACAAAATGGCTGGTAGCTTCCTAATCAACCTATAGAAGTCTATGACCTTGAAAGCCCTAACCATATTTGCTGCCTCCCCTTAATGATTGAGCTGACAGCAAAGGACCACCTCAATGAGGGTGGGAAAGAGGAACCAAGAAGAAAAAAAAGACAATATAGAGAGCAGAAGAGAACTCTCAGAAAGAGTATATATAGCAAAAATAAAGAAAATAAGAAAGCAATAAGAAAGGAGATAACAGAGGTCTTGGAATTTTAAAAAATGGGACAGCTGAGACAAATATTGAATATGATCTGGAAGGTGAAATTATAATGTCTCATAAAGTGAAATTAAAGACAAATACATGGGGGAAGTATAGAAAATATAAGCATATTAGACTATGAATCCAGAAATATAATGTCCTATTAACTTAAAAAAAAAATCTCGATTCCTCCCGGTTTCAAAATGCTGCCGAGGGCTTAGGACCTGCAACTGCCACCCCTCCCTCCTGGGTTCCAAGGGGGAGCGACTCATGGATCGACCATAAGTTTTATCTACAGACTGCAGTTTCTTCAGTCAAAATGACATCATATTCCACCTCTGCCCAGTGTTCAACATACGACAGTGCTTGCAGGATCTCTCTAGAATGAGTCAATAAGGTACAACCAAAATTGCACTTTTGAAGATTTTGCAGGCAGCAGGTGCACAAGGTGAAATGTTCACTGTTAAAGAGGTAATGTACTATTGTAGGCCAGTATATAATGGTGAAGTAGCTTTATGATCCATAGGAGCAGCATATGGTTTATTGTGGTGGAGATATTTTGGGAGAACTACTGGGACGTCAGAGCTTCTCCATGAAGGATCCAAGCCCTCTCTATGATATGCTAAGAAAGAATCTTGTCACTTTAACCACTGCTACTATAGCAAAGTGCAGAGGAAAGTTCCAATTCCAGGAAAAGAACTGAAGAGGGTGATGTTCCCGCACTAACTACCTCAGAATATAAATGCAGAAATTCTAGAGGAGATGAAGACTTGATAACTTTAAGCCAAGATGAGACATCTAGGTTGGACCTTGGGTTTGAGGAGTGGGATGTACCTGGCCTGCCTTGGTGGATTTTAGGAAACTTGAGAAACAATTATACACCTAGAAGTAATGGCTCAACTGATTTACAGACAAATCAGGACATAGGTACTGCCATTGTTTCAGATACTATGGATGATTTGTGGTTTTTAAATTCGTCAGTTTCAGAGCAGTTAGGTGTTGGAATAAAAGTTGAAGCTGCTGATACTGAACAAGCAAGTGAAGAAGTAGGGAAAGTGAGTGACAAAAAGGTGATTGAAGTGGGGAAAAATGATGACCTTGAGGACTCTAAGTCCTTAAGTGATGATACTGTTATAGAAGTTACCTCTGAGGATGAGTGGCAGTGCACTGAATGCAAGAAATTTAATTCTCCAAGCAAGAGGTACTGTTTCCATTGCTAGGCCTTGAGGAAGGATTGGTATTCAGATTGTTCTAAATTAACACATTCTCTCTCCACATCTGACATCACTGTCGTGCCCAAAAAGGAAAGTGAAGGAATTGATGTCCCTGATTGCCAAAGAACTGTTTCAGCTCCAGTTGTTAGACCTAAAGATGCATCTATAAAGGAAGGAAATTCTAAACTTTTAAATCCCTGCAACTCAGTAGAATTCTTGGATTTGGCTCACAGTTCTGAAAGCCAAGAGACCATCTCAAGTATGGAAGAACAATCAGATAATGTCTCTGAGCAGAGAACAGATGTAGAAAATATGGAGGATTGCCAGAATATCTTGAAGCCATGTAGCTTGTGTGAGAAAAGACCACGAGACGGGAACATTATTCATGGAAGGACAAGCCATCTTACGACTTGTTTTCACTGTGCCAGAAGACTAAAGAAGGCTTGGGCTTCATGTCCTATTTGCAAGAAAGAGATTCAATTAGTTATTAAGGTTTTTATAGCATAGTTGAATCAATTGCAAAGAAATATTAATTAGGAGCACCAGGTCACGTACGGAAATGTCAGTATTGCCTGTCTCTACTAAGTATAACCCATTTCATGTGTTCATTTGTGCATGTAAACATCAAAAAAATCTCTAAAGTTTTAAATCCAATTGAACCATCAACTTAGTACACAAGCAGAATCAAAACATTTTGAGACATCCACAGTCTCAAACATGCATCTTCTTTTCTTCCTTTCTAAGGAAGCTCTTAAGCAATAGTTCTAACAAAGCAAGAAGTAAATGAAGAAATATGAAGATATTTGTGTTCAATGCATTGGATTACCTCTCATTATTTATTCTGCTCTCCTTCAAGAAGCAGAATCTGAAAAACTAAAACCACTCATTTATATTGTTTCAAAAATATATCATAGTGAACAGTTCTGAACAACCAGTTTCTCCACTTGGCAATAAAATGGCACACAAATATGTTGTAAAAAATGGGAGCATGGGGACAATGACTGCTGACTGAGTCAGCCCCATAAATACCAAAAAAAAAAACCCGAGTTTGCTATTTCCTTTTTTTAATCTAACCTCTCATATGTTTAATAAGTTTCTCTTAAAGAAATATAAAATACGTAAATGTAGCCACAAAAGCATTAATCTATAATGTAGGAGAACTGGAATGCCTATATCCAACAGTTTAAATTATGAAAATGTGAAGGGAAGTTTACTGTTATTTTTCATGAGACTATGGCTATAAAAGTTGTGCTCAAAAAATTTAGTTGGGCAATTGTTGACCATTTTCTAGAAGTAGCATGCACGTGGGGTTAAGAAAAATGGGCCAGAAAGAACTAAAATAAGTTACATGTTTTCTTCTAACTGAAAATCTTGAAATTTATTTCTCACATATCAAACTCGAACCCCCAAGTAGACATGAATCAAGACCAGGAAAGCAGGATGTGGCCTTATTTATGAAGGTGAGACGATGCCAAAGGCAGCCTCTAGAAGGACAGAGGGAGTGGAGGTCATGTCCTTCCTGAGCCAAGGTCTCATGATAAAAGGCGATGGTGAAGCACTACTGCCACATAGCCATCACCACCACCACCACCCCCTCAACACACAGAGAAACAGCCTCAGTTCTGCCCTCTGTTCAGAGTCCCTGGTACTTCTGAAGCCAGAGAAAACTCAGAAACACACAAAAAAAGGGCCTAATAAGACACTCAGATAAAATCTCAAATCTCTACCTCTTCAAATCTTCAAGAGAAGCAGATGATGAGAATAGATAGGAAAATGAGATGGTTCTACTTCTGGTATGACAAGGGGACAAACAGAACTTAAACAGGAGACGAATTTATTTTGATTAATACTTTCTCCTTACTGTGGGCCAAATGTAAAAGTTAAAGCATACTTATTCAAAGATTGGATAGTTATAATCTTGTCTTATGGTAAGGATAATAGCTATACTTTTAAATGCTATAGTTTTGTTTGTCTGATTGTATACTTTTTTTCCTCAAAGAGAAAATTATTTCTCATGGTTAAAAAAAAGTTTCTAAGATATAATAAAATCATAATTTTTTAAATACTTACAAACATGGTTAGGATAAGGTTTAGACACACAAAAAAAGGCTTTAAAAATACAGCAATTTAGTGAATGGGTGATATATACATAAACATTATAATATATAACATTATATTTATGTACATTAAATGGGGCATTTTCACAGAACAATAGATTTTTCTCCTCTAAAAAGTCTTTTGATTTCATTAAATTTCTAAAGTATCTATTCTAAATAACTATCACGATTCTTGCTTTTATTTTCATATTTTTAGCTACCAACAGAAAAACCAGTTCACATCTTCCTTTTGAACAGACCCAGAAGCAAAATCCACCTACATCCTGAGCAGTCTTCCTGGTTTAGAAGCAGTTGTAGGACTGTGATTTCAAGTCACAACTACTTAACCAGAACTCTTCTGAGATAACAACAAAAGTTAGAAAATCCACCAAAACCACAAAAAACCTAAAACTCTGTAAAACTAAAGGTGTGGACTAATGGGGACTCATGTTCCAGACTTATTTAAAGTCTGATTTTTCAGACACAGGGTTGATTTACAACATTTTTATGTGAATCTCAAAACATCCTTGTATGTAATTTTCCTGAACCACAACACATGAATGGAGCAATTTCTGAATTAGAAAGCAGAAAATTGCTAGAATTCCATCCTGTCACATGGAGGGAGAAATAGACAAGTCCTTCTGTGGGATCAGAGAAAGGACAGGATCTTTTGGTAACAAAGAAGCTAGTTTTAAAACAATAACAAAGAAGAATTGTACTAAATTCCTCCTCTGCACTGACTTAAAATCCCTCTGCCTTTGGTTTCCGCCAAAGCTCATACAAATTCAGGAATGCAAGACAGCAGCGGAAATTGTTAAAAACATAAACATTCCCTTCAACTCCACAGAATCCCTGGTACCTGCCTGGACTTTTCAAAAGAGAACTAAAAATAAGACTGACCTTGAATATGCCTTCCCTCTCAAAAGCAAAAATAAAATAGAAATTATTTTATGGAATGTTAAAGAAAATCACAAAGAATTGCACATTGTGCCTATGAAGAAGAGTAGTTGCCACCAGCCACAAACATGAACTTAGGTAACTGCTGGTGAAATATTTGTCCACACTGGGAAACATACATCAGTGCTCTGTGACCAGTGATCACAATCAAACCACGTCGATAGCAGAGCTGGCTTTCAGAATACACAAAAATTTAATTAGTAACTGGAAAATATGCTTACTTTTCTCTAAAATTCTTGAACTGGAACAAGAAGGGTAGTTAAACCGGATACAACCAATTACTTTCTTAGCAAGAACCGTTAACAGCTAGAGTTCATCACATGTCTGCTCTAAAATACTATGATTATCTCTACAAAAACAGAGTCCTGATTATTTATTTACCCTTCTGGATAGCTGTACAACTTTGTCTCTAAAAGTCTTTTAAAATAATGTTTGAGATTTATTCATCTAATACATTCCATTTAATAAGATTTAATGAGCATTTTAATAGCCAGGGATACTTCATAACCACTCCTGCCCTGAAGAAGCTAAGTGTTTAGGCTGATTTTACCTTTTGTTTTGATTTACATTTACCTGACTGTTAATGAAGTTGAATTGCTTGGCTCATATCTTTTGTCCACATATTGACTAGGATGATTTTTACTCTCATGTCTATTCACAGATATTATTATCTTTTCTGGATTCTAATTACTATTCTGGATCTTTATCACTTGTTTTTTATATGCAATGCAAATATACTGTCCCATCCATGACTGTCATTGTCACACATTAATGTTAATATGGTCCAATTAATTTCCTCTGAAATTTTATTGTTATTGTTGTGTTCTTAGAAATCATTCTCTATCCTAAGGTCATAAAGATATGCACAAAGGAAAATATGGATTTGTTGTTCATATTTCGGTCTCTAAATCCACTAGAAACTTAATTTTGTGTATAGTGTGAGGTAAGTATCTAAGATTTTCTTCCTCATGGGTAGTTAAGCATCTTGGCACCATATAGTGAAAGGAAGTTTGCCAGACAGTGAGGAGGGAAGAGGATTTAAATAAATGGATTCTCAACCTTGGTCTGGAGAGACCTGTGATGTAACACATCTGCTCAGGTAAGTTGAGCCTAACTCATCAGAGTGCTTCAGCCTTCAGGGAAAGATCATGTCTTCTTCACACTCTGCTCCTTGTTCCTTCCACAGCACACAGCAGATAATAAAGTACTTGTTAAATAGTAAAAAAAAAAAAAAAAAAAAAAAAAAAATTAACAAGCCCTTTTTGACCTGGCTACGGTATCTTCTACAAGCACCCACTGTTACTAGAGAACAGTGTCTCTGTACTTCCTGTTGCTTCAGTTTCTACTGCTTTACCAATTGGCAAACTGGCCTATAAAAACTCTCTAATCAAAACACAATGTAGTTCTCTTTTGCACCAAACAGCACCTATCAAAGGCTTTATGTAATACCTGGAACATTCTCTTTATAAGCTACAGGCAAATGAATACCTTTTGTGATTGCTACAAAACAAAATTCAATGCTTACAATGGTAAAGAATTACCAAGTTTTTCCAGCCTGCATGGATCAATGGACTCAGGAACTTACTGGCTTGGGAACTGTGTATGAACTCCACATAGGTATCTTCATAGCTTTTGCAAATCCAGTGATGTATTCTCTGTGGTAGAGGAGACAGTGATCCTTGTTCTTCTGCATAACCCTGGGCCTCCCAAATGGCAAATTTACTTTCATTGTTGCAATTACTAAAATGAAAATAATGTAAAATAAAAATATTTGTGAAAACAGCAAGTGCTTCTATGCATATAATTACCCTCTGGTGGCTTATTTATCAGGTATTCTAACGAATATTTTATATATTTAACCTTTTACAACTCATAACCACTCTGTAAGGTAGGTGTTACTATCCCATTTCACAGATCACAAAACTAAGGCTTAGGTAAGTAACTTGGTTAAGCAAAGGGCTAAGAAAAGATGTGAAGCTCTCTTTTGCTTTTTATGTTTTATATCTCACAAGATATAACCAAAGAAGATGAAATCTTAAAACCCAAAGTGCCTACTTTACAACAAAGATGATGTACTTTAATAATTCCATAGGAAATATATTGGAATTTTTTTTAAAAAAGTAAGTCTTCTATGGTCTGAATGTTTATGTCCTTCCAAAATTCATGTTGAAATCCTAATCCCAAAGGTGGTGGTATTTGAAGGTGGGACCTCTGGGAAGTCCTTTAAGTCATCAGGTGAAGTCCTTATCAAAGGTAATTAGTGCCCTTATAAAGATGAGACTCCAGAGAGATTCTTGCCCTTTCAGCCACATAAGGTCAGAATACAAAGGCCATCTATAATGAAGTGGGCCCTGGCCAGACACTGAATCTGTTGGCAATTTAATCTTGGACTGCTCAGGCTCCAGAACTATGAGAATAAATTTCTGTTGTTTATAAGTCACCTGCTTATGGTGTTGTTATAGCAGCCTGAGAAGATGCAGACTGTATCCTAATGTCTATTAATTTGTTTCTATCATATTTGATTCAAACTGACTGCAGATTGGAAATATTGACAAAACATTTCCTGAGCATGTAAAGATTTTTTTCCTTGTCATTTCCTCCTAAACAAAACAGTATAATAACTATTTACATACCATATGTATTGTATTAGGTCTTACAAGTAGTCCAAAGATGATTTAGAGTTTATGGGGGAATATGCATAGTTCATTGAAAATACTATGCCATTTATATAAGGGACTTGAACAGCTGCAGGTTTTGCTTATCTGCAGGGAGTTTTGGAACAAATCCCCTGCAGATAACAAGAGATGGCTGCCATCCCCATTTTATAAATGATGAGACTGAGGTTTAGAGAGTTTAACACAAGAATACTTAGAAGGTAACAGGAAATAGAGGCATTGCTATAGGCCAGGCACTTGTAAATCATTTCCATGGATTAGCTGTTTTTATCTTTACAACTACATAAAGGGGGTATGATTTTTGTAGATGAGGAGTTAGAGGCACAGCAAAGGTAAATGATTTGCCCCAGGTTCCACAGCCAGGAACCAAGGAAATGTGGTTTGTCCACACCTTAGGAAAGGAAGAGGGGGCCTCAGACAAAGCACAGTTATTTCAAGGAATTTTTCACAATCTTGGAACAAGTGCAACTCTCCTGGTGTTTGGCACCCTTTGTTATTAGACCCCTGGGGTTTTCCCTCTGATTTCTTGGCAATGAAATCTTTAAAAGCCTCTGTGAGCTTATTTTGGACAATCCCCAAAGAGCAATATTGTGTTTTATTAGTTCTAAATATCAAACACTTAACATAGACTTTACTGACTTACTTTCTTCTTCAGTCAGATTTAGCCTTAGATTCATTTGTTCCAGATTGAGAGCCTATAAGATAACAGGGAAGGGAAGAAGGTAAAAGTAATAACATGTGTCAAAGAATGATCAATATTTCTTCTACAGTAATCACCTGAAATGCTTTACTACTGAAACTTTACTTTCTTTACTAGTGAACAAAGACAACAGACTAACATGGGTTTAAATTCCAATTCTGCCACTACTTAGAAATAGCATGCTACTGCCCCCCCATTCTGTGTGTCCATGTGTAGGAGTTGGCAAAGATATAGTTGACAATGGGACAAAGTATTCTGATGGCAGCTGGAATCAACAACAAAGTCAGGATGATAGCCAGTACTTCTCAAGTTTGAAATGCTTACAAAACTCTTGAGAGTTTGTTAAAGTACATATCATGATTTCATAAACCTGGGTTATGGCCTGAGATTCTGCATCTCTAAGCAACCCACAGGTCATGCAGATGCTGGTCTTGGATCCTACCTCTTTGAGTACGGAGAGACATTTTTCACAGAGAGGAAATTTCTGTTTGCAGTCAGATAGACTAACTTTAGTGAGATTTGACATTTGTTTCATTTCTTCCAGATTGGTAGACTGTAAGATAACAAGACGAGGAAGGGAAAGAAGTTAAAGTAATAACACATGTCAAAGAATGATCAATATTGTGCTGGGGTTGTGGCTCAGTGGTACAGTGCTTGCCTAGAACATGTGAGGCACTGAGTTTGATCCTCGGCACCACATTAAAAAATAAATAAATAAAGTTATGTCCATCAACAACTAAAAATATATTTTTTTTAAAAAAAAGAATGATCCATATTACTTCTGCAGTAATCACACAAAGTGTTTTACTAGTGAAACTTTACTTTGTTTACTAGTGAACAAAGACAACAGACTGAAATTCTGATTCTGCCACTACTCAGAAATACAGATAGATGCTACTGCTTCTCCATTTTGTGTGAATTGGCAAAGGTATAATAGACAATGGAACAAAGCATTCTGATGGCAGCTGGAATCAACAATGGAGTCGGGATGGCAACTGGTGCTTCTCAAGTTTAAGGTGCATACACCTCTCTTGAGGGTTTGTTAAAGTACATATCGTGATTTCATAAACCTAGGTTATGTATCCCTAGGCAACCCCCAGGTCATGAAGATGCTAGTCTTGGATCCATACCTCTCTGATTAGTAAGAGACATTCATTACAGAGAGGATATCTTTGTCTGCATTCAGATAGTTTAGCTTCATTAGAAATTAGCATTTCATTCAATTCTTCCAGAGGGCTACCCTGTAAGATAACAAGACAGGGAAGGGAAGAAAGTAAAAGCTATTATTACTTCTGCAGTAATCACATGAAGTATTTTACTAGTGAAACTTTACTTGTTTACTAGTGAACAAAGACAAAAGACTAACATGGACTTAAATTCCAATTCTGCCTCTAGTCAGAAATACAGAGGTGGTACAGCTCCCCCATTCTCTCCCTGCCCACCGTGCACCGTGTGTGTGTGTGTGTGTGTGTGTAGGAATTGGCAAAGATATAATTGAAAATGGGACAAAGAGGCAGCTGGAATCAACAATGGAGTCTGGATGACAGCCAGTGCTTCTCAAGTTTGAGGTGCATACAAATCTCTTCAGGGTTTGTTAAAGTGAATATCATGATTTCATAAACCTTATGGTTATGGCCTGAGGTTCTGCATCTCTAGGCAAACACCAGGTCAAGCAGATGCTGGTCTTAGATCCATACCTGGTATACAAAAAGACATTCTTTATAGAACAGAACTCCAAGTTTGCAGTCAGATAGACTAACTTTCTGTGACTTTGGACAATTTGCCTAACTTCTCTGAGCCCTCTTTTTCTCTAAAATGGGGAATAAAATACCCAAAGCCCACTTTATATTATCATCATCATCATAATTTAATGGCCATTCTATTGAGGTTATCTGGAATAGTGGAAACCTGGAACTGAGGTTATTAGGGATATCAGGTAGGAAACCCACACCCCTACTCTTATCTTTGCTATGAAGTTATAATTTTATAATTACTGAGAAGTTTTACTGTTTGTCTCTTAATGTTTTTTTTTTTGGTTGGGTATTTCTTTATGTATGGGTGTAATGATAGCTTGAAGATTAGAGAATATAAAGTCTTCACCAGCCCTTGACCATAAGGAGCAATTCTTACCTGAGGCAGCCAGTATTTATTTAGCTCTACAATCACATTTTGAACTTGGCATCAAATATATGTTGACATTCATTTTATCTTGACAGCTCCTGGGTTCCAGTTTTGTTCAGAAATCCCAACCCACCCAGGTGATCTGATTCTCTAAAGTGGTGCTGGTCTTTGTATTTTGAGCACCATTATGTATATGTGCCACATTTTATTTTATCTATTCATCCACTGAAGGGCATCTAGGTTGGTTCCACAGTTTAGCTATTATGAATTGTGCTGCTATAAACATTTATGTGGCTGTCTCCCTGTAGTATGCTGTTTTTAAATCCTTTGGGTATAGTCTGAGGAGAGGGATAGCTGGGTCAAATGGTGGTTCTATTCCCAGTTTTCCAAGGAATCTCCAAACTGCTTTCCAGATTGGCTGCACCAATTTTCAGTCCCACTAGCAATGTATGAGTGTGCCTTTTTCCCTACATCCTTGCCAACACTTATTGTTGTCTGTCTTCATAATAGCTGTCATTCTGACTGGAGTGAGATGAAATCTTAGAGTAGTTTTGATTTGTATTTCTCTAATTGCCATCAATGATGAACATTTTTTCATGTATTTCTTGATTGATTGTATATCCTCTTCTGAGAAGTGTCTGTTCAGGTCCTTGGCCCATTTATTGATTGGACTATTATTATTATTATTGGTGTTTAGCTTTTTGAGTTCTATATATATCCTAGAGCTTAGTGCTGCATCTGATGTGTGAGGAGTAAAATGTTGCTCCCAAGAAGTAGGCTCCTTCCCCTTTTAGGGCACTTGGAACTTCACCTTTTTGAGAATCTCCTGGAATCTGAAGTCTTACTTCCGTACTCAGTGTTGACTGCCAGCTGATGCTCAGACCAAGCCCTGATCTATTAACAGCATCTTTCCAGTGTCTACTGTCTATCAATAAGTGTCTAAGTGGTGCCTGATAGAGACTCTCCACTGCTACCCAAAGAAATACTTCACAGAACCTACCCTTATGAGTGTGTCTAATGCCAGGTTACAATTCCTGCACCCTTCCAGTTCGTTCTATTCTAAATGGCCAAACATGACCATCTGATTCTCCAACTTTAAGAATCGTTTATGAGCAAATCAAAAAGAGATCCAAGATTATTTTGAATGGTTGCAGCAATTAGTTCATAGTGGGATTAACAATTCCTTTCCAAATACAGCTTTCCAATTTTCAAAGTATATTCACATACTTAATCTTATAATGCATACATTAGAATTCCTAATTTTCAGATAAGGTTTTGAAAAACCACATGTGTACTTAATAATCCAAGCCATAACAGAACCCTGGTTATAGACCAGCTTGCCCCTTTACATTTATAATCTTATGGATGCATGAAGTTGTTACTTACATCTTGTGTCTTAGGACATGAACAGTTTAAAAATCCCGTGGGCAACAGAGTTGTAACTCCACAAACTGACAATGTTGACACTTCCTCTGCATGTGATGGTTCATAAAAAGGCACCTTCAGAAGATGGTTTAGACTACCATGGGTACCATTGTTTGGTGCTGGTTGAATGCGTAGGAGATCTGTTTTAAACAAATAAGTTCAAAACAGTTTTAAATTGGAAGGCAATGACTCCTGTGTGGGAGATGGGAAACAACATCTACTGTTTCATTCATTTAATAACTTCTGCTGTAACCCAGCCATGTACTGAATGTGCCATTCAGTTTACTGAATTTCATCTCCCAGAGCTCCAGCATCTAGTCTTTCCACATTGGCTCAATCCCCATAGATGAACCATAGGAACTTCCATGAACTTTTTCTGTCCCTCAGGAGAAAAGCTGCATTGCTAAAAGGATCACTTTGTTCCTTAAGCATACCATGGTTTTTTAGAATAAAATGCTATCCTCTTAAGTAAAAACAAGTTTAAAGAAGTTAAATAATTTATAATCTTACTTATGTTTACTTAGCTATATGAAAATTCTCTAAGAATGGATACTTTAAAAAAATTTAACTAGTGAATTTTGCTTAATATTTAGAGAACTTCTATTTTTTTCGACAACAGGACATAAACATATTTTATAAACATAGCCTTTTACGTGGCTCTTGCTGACTACTACATAAGAGAGATCTCTCCTCAAATTAGAGTTCTACTAACCATTTCCACAAAGGGCCAACAACCCTGGCCGCAAACCCAGCAGCTATGGAAACAAGAATTTAGTTGTTAAGACTACAAAACACTATTTTAAAATGGGTACTTTTGGGTCTCTAAGTCACCCTCAATTATGACAGGACAGTAAGATTAAGAGAAATAATTGTGCGTATGCTTATATCCATCTAACAGTGAAACAGCAGCTTTCTCCTTGCCTTACCAGGCAAGTGATTTGAGAGTACATTAGACTAAGGCAATCATGTAGATTGAAAGGTAGATTAGGTTCCCTAAGACTCCTATTCTTTTTAGTTCTTCAACCTGAGTATAATAACAGGTGTCTAGCCAAATAGGACTTTCTCACCATCTTTCTATGCCGGGAGAATTCTCCTTAGGATTACAAGAAAGTACTTGTGTTTTAGGTATGTTTATCTTTCTTTGAAAAGTTGGAAATGTTATTTTATTTTTCTGACTTTTATTAAATTATCATATAGCAACTAACTGATAGAAAAGCATGGTTTCCTAAGATCTAAGGTTTAACATTACTAAGAAAACAAAAATGAATTTACTCTTAAGGCTGAATAATTCTGGATAATAAATAAAAATTTCCCCCATCTTTTCTACTTCCTGTCTTAATGCACAACATCTAGCCTTAGAATTCAGTTTGTCCCCAGTTTCAAACTACACTATATTAAAAAACTATCCACCTTTTGCTGGTGAATTTATTTATATATACTTACCACACAGTAGATTATACACTTCAATATTTTCAAATGGTTCAACTTCAGTCTGTTCTTTAAAACTGGGTCCATGTGCCAAAAAGAGAGCCTAGGTGGTAATAGTTATATAATTACTAGATAAAATCTAAATTCATTAATAATTTTAGGGAAAGACATCATTTTTCCTCTGTAACAACTCTCCTATTTACATCTTAGGCTTCTATAAGGATTTCTTTCCAGATTTGAAAATGATTTTTAAACCACTGCCACCTGTGATGTTGTATCTATTTTAATCCAATGCTGTGTTTACCTGTCTCTCCTTGCTTCCCTAGCACCTCTCAAGTCAACAACTAGGAGGACACAAGCAACAGAGGACAACCGATATCAGCACAATTCCATAGAATCTAGACATTACATATTAGAAATTTATTGTATAATACCATATGATGTTTTCATATCATTGCTCAAATATGTTAATACATGACAAGAAATGTTGATATACATACACTTCAATATTTTCAAAGTTTTGCATACCTTCCTAACTCACTCAATTCTCAAACACCTCATCCTTTTACTTTTGTGATGAAAAGAACTAAGTGTTCTGGTTTATATTTAATTATTACTAAAATTATATTATTCATAACAAATCTAATTCTAGTTGTTTATAATCTTACACAATTACCAAATACGGATAAACAATTCTTTTTGGTTAACGAGGAATACATAATTTTTCTAAGATGATCAGCAAAGAATTGGAGGCATGTTTTTCTTGTAGTCATGAATTTCATATCATATAGTAACCTAATTAATAGAAAAGCTCTGTTTCCAGAGATTTTTCAGGTATTTACAAAGTGATATAACTCACCATGGCAACATTGAGAGACGGTATGTTCCATAAAGAGCCTAACATTTTTCTCCCATTTGGAAAGGAGTGTGTGCATATGTGTGAGTGTTTGTGTGTGTGTGTGTGTGTGTGTGTGTGTGTGTGACAAATAGAACTAGATAAGACAATCAGAATGCAATAATTATAAAGCTTTGACTATGGAGGAATTTCAGCTACATTTTACACATAGATCACATAGATTCCTCTGTAGACTTTCTTCCTTGAACTTTCAGGGCTCCACATACACCACTTCTGATTTTCTTTCTTGCTTGCTGATGCCTCTACTTCTAGGTCTCTGCTCATAATTTTTTTTCTCTCCAATCTCTTCAAACAGAAGTGTTCCACTTTCAATACTTGGTCTTCCTATCTATACTCAATCCCTGAATATTTTACCTAGTCTTACATTTTTAATAATCTCTGTGCCTAAGACTAAAATTTTTTCCATCTCTGGGATAGATTCCTTAACTGCATATTCAATATCTCTATTTGCATGTTTAATAAATATTTCAAACTCAGCAAGTCAAACTGTCCTCTTGCTCCTTCCTTCCAAATCAGCAGCAGCCACAGTCCAGCATCCCTTCAATAGCCAAAGGCCCTCTTGTCTCCAAAACTAACCTAGGGCCTCTGCACTGGCAGTGTCCTCTGCTTAGGACATTGTTCTCTGAATACCTAAATGCTACTTCCTTCACCACCTTGGAGTCTTTGCTCAAATACCACCTCAGTGATTCTAACCCCTTCTACCCTTTTTAAAGTTGCATCCTGTCCCCAGGGCACCCCAACATACTCCACTTTCTCATCCGGCTTCACTTTTTCTGTATTCCATGGCACTTCACCTAACATATCAAATCATATATTCCTTTGTTTTGCCTTCTGTCTGCATCCCCTCTTTGAATAAGGCTTCTTGAGGGCCCTTATCTGCTCTATTCAGGATGTATTCAAGAGTTTTGGAGATTGCTTATCACAAAGATCAATTAGCATTTGTTTAATACAGGAGTACATTACCTGCATACTCTTAAACTCATTGTTATAACCATGGTTGCCTCCTCCACAGTATGAACTTCCTTTCCTCCTGTGAAGAAATATTATTATCATATACTGGTCAAAGTATTGATATGAGCCCTAATTGTAAAATGAGTTTTAATGGATTAATATAGCTTCTGTTTTTATATAAGTAATTTTTTCCTGTCGACAATAGCATAAATGTGTTTTTTTTCATGCTTGAATTCATAACCATAGAGTAGTAAGTAGAACGGTAGGACAGAAGAATGGAGAATTCCAGGGTCTATAAATAGAAGTCAAACTCTTGCACTCTTAGACATTGACAAAACAATAATTAAAAAGGCACAGATTAAAGAAAAAGAATTTATCTTCAAGCTCATCTGCACTTTTGTATGTCAATGACTATGTGATTAAGAAGAGTTTGATTAGTGTCATTTTAAGCATTTAAGTGCTTTAGGAATAAATCTTTGGCACTTAGAAGGAATATTAATTTCTATTTTACAGTGGAGATGTCCAGTGGAATAATATAAAAACATGAATAAAGAATACTCAGGACAAATTAATTATAAAAGTTGGTAAGGAGTAACTAGTATATTCTGTAAATAAGAGTTTATTTTTAACTTTTGGGATTTTCTTCCCTAGGCTATTGCTCTGTTACTTGAATAACTTCTCAAATTCAATTAATTTGACTTTTGCCATGGTTAATCATTGAATTGAACAGTGTCAGCAATTTTTTGCACAGTTGGTTTTCATACTTAGAAAAAAAAAAGTACTGCTACATGAACCTAGATTTTCTTAAAGTTACAATATTGTACAAGTTCAAATTTGGTCTTTGAAGGAATAAGACTCCATTTTCCAAAGGCTGGCCTTAAAAGGTTTCTTTCATTTGCTTCCTCACACTTCACCTCCCAGGGAAACACACACACACACACACACACACACACACAACTTCTGTTCATGTTTGCACTGAAGGCACAAGTGAGCACAGGACAGTAGTCTAGTGTCTTTAAAAAAAAAAAAAATCAACATTTATCAAAATGACTCTCAGTTTAAGTACAAAATAAAAATAAAGTAAATCACAAAAATTAAATATAAATCATGGCTCTAACCAGGCTATGCTCAACTCTACCCACTAGTAGGAAGAAAAAAGAAATAAAAATAAACTGTAATACGGAAAGCAGTAGGAATCCTATTTATAAGGTGTTTCAATTCAGTTACCGGAAAGACATCAGCTCAACACCTTATCTTAGTGAATTCCAACAAAATTGTTCCTATAGGGTAGAACTTGTGCTAAAAATATATTTTTAGTCTTCTTGCACAGACATTTGGTTTCCCAGTGTTACTGGAATTATTTGATTGCAGATAACTAAGTTTTAAATTCTGTGTGAGAAACTAGAGTGCTCATTATGAAAGATGGAAAAGGTTTTTTTTTTAAACCAAATCTTTGTAATAAAATTTTCTAAAATTTGTCCCATGTTTATCTTTCTATTTTCAGAAAAATCCAGTATTTTTTTTTAATATTTCCATTTCCTACACCTAGTTCAATGAGAAAAGATAGTAAATATTGCAAAATTTTGTTGTGAAGCAAAGATAAAAATATTGCATGAAAAAAAATCTCTATTTTTGCTTCTCAAGCGAAAACTTTAGAAATTTGCTCTTCAAACTGCTTAGGTTCTTTCTTTCCAACCATTAATTTGACTCTGGAAAGTACACACGGAAAAATGAGAGCTGACATTTGGAAAAGGTGAGTTGATTTTATCTGTCATAATTTAGCTCAACTTCTATCCAGCTGAAACCTGTGGAACAAATTTTCTATTATCTTTTCCCTGTCTAATTAACACAGTCGAAATCAAAGTTGAGTTTCTCTCCCACAGTTGGGTAATGACACAGGTGGTGATGAACAAGACTTCTCCCCTGATACCCAAGCAGTTGCCAAGACTTATCTTCTTTGTGATCTCCCCGTTGGTCCTTTCCTTCCCTCTTTTACTGCCACAGTTCTAGGCTGGATCCTCCTAGTCTCTGACTTGATCAAGTTCCCTGATCATCCTGCTTTCAAACTGTAGAATCTTCCTACATACCACACACATCCCTAATACTTTTGATTTTTTTTTAACTGCTGCTGGAAATGGAAATAATGTATAATGAATACAAATTTGAGATAGAATATGACCTAGAAAATATGGGTCATAGGTCAACCACAATACATTCCTGGAGATGTGCTATGTAACTGATTTCACCATCCCTGTGCTCCACACCCTCCTGGGGACTGTCATAACTCTGGGGAATGGGTCACCACACACCTTTCTAACAGGCTTCCTGTCTCTTGCTAGAGCCTCTTCCTCATAAGGCAGCTAGAATAAGCTCTCTGAAACGCAAGTCTCACTATATTCGTAGCTACCAATGGTCTCCTACTTTGTTCAAGATGGAAGTCATACTTCTTAATCTTGACATATAAGTCCTTCATGCAGAGGGCAGTTTCATTCATGGGGTTATCCAGCAATATGGAACCACTAGCGACTATGCTCTCATTTTCCCTACCCTTTCTTGTCCCAGACCTAGGCTGGCTTTAAAAAAGCACCCCACTGCCCTGGAGAGATCTAGAGAAAGAAACCCATCTTGAAGGACACAGTCTGGCAGTGTGCAAGGCTTGGCAAGCAGATGGCACCTTCCAGAAAAATAGAGGGTCGCGTTCCTCCTCTAATGCAGGAGGCGGCTTGGTGAGCTGAGTGAGGATCCAGTTTTCAGGCCCTCTTGCCTTCTGGATGGGTGCCAGTACTGTGCACAGACTTCACGGGCATACCTACTGGCTGACAACATTTGGCCGGCCCCACCCAGAGGTATTCTGGTGGTGCACTTGTAACAGTGGTTCTGTCACCTTTTGAATGCAGCCCTCACTGCTCTAAGGCTTATTTAAAAAAAAAAAAATGTTTTTTATTCTTTCTTCTCCTGTCTCCCCCTCCCTAACAAGAAAAGGGAGACAGTGTTATCTTTTATTCCCCTAGTTAATTGTCCTTGAACACACCCAGTACTGGAAGGAGATGCCTGCTGAGAATCTGGGAAGTGAATATCTCCCAAATTAACAAGTGAATCTTAACACACCATCTGGGTACACTGGGGCTCCCTACCAGAGCACACCTGAAATGTAACCCTTGAAGTTCCTTTAAAAATCCCTTCTCTCCTGATCTAGAGAGTCACAGCCTTTGGGACGGGAGTCCCCTGTGTTTCTTCTTTGCTAGCAAAGCAATAAAACTTTTTTTTTTCCTTTTCTCAAAATCATGTTCTCATCATTAAATTGGCATTGATTGGCATTAGGGATAGGGACAGAGCTTTCGGTTACACACTCTTATTTCCATAACTGTTTCTCATTCTGCACCTGTGGACTCCTAACTTCTTTAATAGACCCCTAACAGTAAATATTTGAGAAGGTATCCCCATATGTATTATATATCATGTCCCCAAACTATTAACAATTTTAGCGTTTAATAAGTTTAATTTTATTCACATACATTAATTTGTTAATTTATTTTATTCACATTTTAGATGTTCACATTTAGATGTTGTCCTGAGCCGCAGTACAGCCACCAACAATACAAAGGCTCAAGAAACTCAGATCCAAAGGAGAGAGGCCAGTGCCATCTAGTGAACCCAATGTGGAACTGCATACTTGCTGGCTGACTGTAGGCTCTGCCAAATTCCCAGCTCCTTATCCTGCACTTACTTGTTGGAGCCCAATTCTCTGTCATCTTTCAGCGCCTCTTTCTTTGTCAAAAATATCTTTTAGCCACTGTATTTCCACTGCCATTGTAATCCCCTGGAATTAGGTTGCATACATATAAGTGAGGGGAGAAAATTCCACATGATCCTGATTCTGTTTGCATTCACTTAAGCACATGGAAACAAATACAGGAATAAAATTCAGAAAAGAATCACTCATTTAGCTACAAGAAATATATGCGTTTGTTTCCTGGGTCATTAATAGTCTTCTCCATTGCAGTTATACTCCAAGGGGGCAGAAATCCTGTCTGTATTCCAAATGCCTGAAGCAAGATCTGCATTTGATAAGTATGGCAAGCATTTGATAAATTTTGTTTGATCCATGAAGTCATTGGTTATTTGAGATGGAGTGATTCATACTGGTCTTTATTTTCTCAAGAACATTTATATTTTGCAAATGCTCAGTGATCAGCATGAATTATAATTAAAAATAAGAAATAAATGTTACAATTGGTTAACTTGGCTTTACAACCATAAGAAGGTTCTTTCATAACAAACACAATGATGACAAAGATCTTAAAGAGACTTCTAATCATTCAGTCACTCAAAGGATAGCACATTTGGGGATAGGAATGTGCTGTTTCTGATATCCCTGTAACACTGGCTGGTACACTCTCAAGTTTTTTCCTCATTCTCATCTATGTGGTAAAGATTAGAATGCTGAGATCAGTCATCAAACAATAATAACCTTAAGTGGAGAAGTGCTAAGCAGAATGAAAGGTCAAGGAAATGCCAATACTCAAGAACATTTACATGATCATAATAGTGAGGTAAGATTAAGTAAATTTATAATGAAAGATGATTGTTAAAAGTATTAAAAGTAAATAGACACAAACCTCATAGCCAGCCACTGTGGATCCATCATAAGATGAACTTTGTCAATTCTGATATTTTTGGCATAGTGTAGTCGTTTGGGCAAATCAGGAGTCAAATAGGGTTTAAAATGCTGATCGGGTTTTTGGCACTGAAAAAAGGGTAAATATTTCTCCAATGAAAAAATATGCAAAATAAGTAAAAAATTTTCTAATGAGGCACTTTTTAAAAGTAGGGAGATTTAAGTTCAAGTTAATAAAATAGGAAAAGTAAATCTAAGGGGCTGGGGATGTGGCTCAAGCGGTAGTGCGCTCGCCTGGCATACGCAGGGCGCTGGGTTCGATCCTCAGCACCACATAAAAATAAAATAAAGATGTGTGTCCACCGAAAACTAAAAAATAAATATTAAAAAATTCTCTCTCTCTTAAAAAAAAGTAAACCTAAAATCAACATAATCAAATTCACTAAATATATTTTTATTGTTGCAACAATAATTAGGTTGAAATTTAAAATTTGATTTAAATTAGGAGCAGATATTTGATGTTTTATGGTTTTATTCCTGAGTATATATATTAAGCCACAATAAATCCCCCCTCTTGTTTTGACAGAAAACAGATATGTCTCAATTTTGAGTGGCAATTATATTTTTAAACTATATATAAATAACATATGAGATATTAGTAGATATGAAAACACAACTTAAAAATCAGTTTAGTTGCACTAATAATCCCAGCACAGCTTTTAACTAAACATTTGCTTGGTTTTCAAATCAATTCAACAGCTTTTGAAACCAAGTATAGTATTCCTATTTGTGAAACAAATTTATGGATTCATCTCAAATTAGAGTAAAATTTTATAAAATGTTGTTTCTCTAATAATTGCTACTGTAACTTTATGGCATATTTAAAAAGTATAGAATGCAAATTACTTGGGACTTATTAATGAAAAGAAAAATGAAGAAGTAGGAAACAATTATGAAGAAACTTTCTCTCATGACCTCCTTGAGAAACAAAAGAAAAATGTTAAACATAAAAAGTAAGACCATGAGGAAATGAAATTTCTTCTAGTTTCTCATTTTCTCATATATTTTAAACCATAATATCTCATCTATATTATTAGCAAGTCTGTGTAACCAATAATCTCACATTCAACTTATAGAAGAAAAATGAGAAGCTATGAAACACAACTTCACAAAGCAAAATTTAAGAGAAATACAGAAAATGGGAGTGTACAGAGATTACAGAATGAAAGAAGAAAAAGAAAAGTATTTATTATACATCTATCAAACTTTTTTTCTTATCTATTTTGGTATCTTTTTCAGGCTTCTTATTTTCTATTTTTCAACTGTCATTACTTCCTTCTTAAGACAACATTTTTCTGATTTCCAGGCAGGTTCATGATGGCAGCTGCAGAGTATGCAGCTTCCCCACAAATGCAAGGGGATAATATGTGCTCCAGAGGACAACAGACAATAATTAGTCACACTCCCTTTTCTGGTGTATAGCTAGAATAGAACCACAGAAACTTGGGGGGCACAATGCCAACTTCTGAAGAAGTATAGAGATATTATTTACATTTGAGAACTTGGAATGAAGACACCAGAGTTGAGATAAAATTTGGTCACTTTGAGAACAAAGTTGGTGCTGATGTCTCTCATGTAGCCAGATGGTTGTGGAACTTAAATAGTTGCCAGTTCATGTCTAGTTATCTTTGTCCAATAAAAGGTCAATGTAGACCCATAGACTGGCACTACCACATGAAACATAAAATGGTAGCTCATTTCCTTGGGGGCTCTGTAGATCCAGACTCAGCTTATAACTGTGAAGCCATGTAAGGGAATTTCCAAAATCTGTGGTGCTCGATCCCCTTGCACCACTAGGATTATTAGAGATTTGACCTTCTTCACTAACACAACTTCATCTATATCTAGATCACAAAGTGAGGTAACAAAAATAAAACAGTATGTGGATTGTGAGAGTCCACATGTTGAAAATCTTGAAGTACCCCTCCACTCAGCATAAATAAACTTGTAATCCTGGGTGGTAGGTAAATGAGTAGGGAAAATTCCAGATAGCTTAAAAATTCCACTTGTCAAAGTGGTGTGCACTAATTCTGGAGAAACCTAAAATGATCTTCCTTGGTAGATTTTTTGTTGGTGGGAGGTGGGGTTGGCTCAGGAGATTAAACTCAGCATGTTCTACTCTTCACCAGCAGGGGGCAAGATTGTCTATCATGCTTACTTAAGATCAAAGGATTAATGAGTAAAGGTGTAAGAGGAAAAAAAGAGTGATTAACACTCTATAGGATTTCTGCTCCAGTCACTCCTGCTTGGACCTTGCAGTGAGTCCCAAATTACATTAACAATTCTTTACCCCATGTTTTATCTTTAGGCACTTGCACCCCATTCTCACCATTTTTAATATAACTGCTGTCCATTTATACTTAAATAAATTTAATCTCATGCCAAGCAATAATAAATTCATAAATTCTACATCATATATATATATATATATATATATATATATATATATATATTTGTGAATATATTTTAAGTATAGAACCATTAAAAACTACCATACAAAGGGCCTGGATGTCTAGCTTAGTGGTACAGCACATGAAGCCCTTAGTTCAACTTCCCACACCATAAAAAAACAAACAAAATTTCCGTGAGTCTAAGATCCACTATTTTAGATATTCAGTTGCACAAAAACTGAGAGAAATGGTGTGACCTAAAGCTCACTAGCATACCCTTTTTAATTTAATTTTTTAATTTGTTCTAATTAGTTATACATGACAGCAGAAGGTATTTTGATACATTGTATACAAATGAAACACAACTTCTCCTTCCTCTGGCTGTACATGGTGCAGAGTCACACCAATAATGTAATCATACATGTATATAGGGTAATAATGTCTGTCTCGTTCTATGCTTTTTCCCATCCTCATAGCCTCACCTCTCCTCTCACTTCCCTCTGAACAATCCAAAGTTCTGTCATTCTTCCCTAACACCCCCACCACACACACATACTATGGATCAGCATCTGCTTATCAGAGAAAATAATCAGCCTGGACTGGGGTTGTGGCTCAGTGGTAGAGTGCTTGCCTTGCATGTGTGAGACCCTGGGTTCAATCCTCAATACCACATAAAAATAAATAAACAAAATAAAGGTACTGTGTACAACTAAAAACTAAATATAAAAAAAAGAAAACAATCAGCCTTTTTGAAAAGGACATCATCCCTTTCAATGAAAACTAGGAGTCAGGGTCTATGTTACCCCAAACTAATTTCCTATATTGGTGTCAACTAGAAAATAAAAACTAAGATGAATATGCATGTTGATGGAGAATAAAAAATAAACTCCAAGTAGTTTACTGTCAGAAATACATGATATAAATTTCTCAGAACCCAGATTAAGGTCATCACCATTAACTTAGATATATTAAGGAGACTATATACTTACACTGAGTTTCATAACAATTTCTTCAGAATTAACTGTTTCAAAAGAAAAGAATCACATTACAATTGATACTGGACAACAGCAAAAATTGTAAAGAACTAGGTGAATCTGACACATATTTATTAATAACTATGATATGGCAAAATTGAATAAAAGATGATTTCAAATGAAGAATTACTTTAGCACTTAAGAACAGAGTAGGATATATTTTAACTCAGCAATATTAGATATTACCATAGACTCTACAGATTGACTCTACTTAATCATGGGAATTTCTCATTGGCTTCTATGTGATCTTCCCAAAAAGGAAGGGACTTTATGGGAAAGTCCCCACATGCTCTCAGAACCTTGGTTATGGTTACTCACTTTCAGTTTTACCCCCTTTTCCCCCTTTCGTAGGAGTATCTTCATACTTACAAGTAAAAAAGTCCTCGGGTACATTTCTAGTCCTGATGCGAGGAGCAGGCCCTTCATACATATAGAAGTTTATTTGAGGAAAATAATCAGTCATATATTCCACCTTGTCACAAGCAGTCTGATCCATTCCTAAATTCAAAAAACAAAGAAAGAAAAGAATAATCCACTGAGTGTATAAACAACAATTACATGTCTTTATAATATCTGATTTGTTTGTTAAGACAAATGATACATTTTTAAATCAAAATAGCAACGTGTACTTTTATTAAATAATGCATTAGGAATGTAGGAATTTACAAATCTTTTTTTCAAAGGTATTATTTAAATTTAAATCAGCAGCATGTGCTCCAAAAGGATTTGGCAGTCAAATCTTTTTTTAAGGAGCATATTCATGTATTATTATTATTATTATTATTAATTGTTTTTATTGACAGAGTCTTCAGACTGTAAATTTCTACTTTTAACAAAACGGATCCCCCTGATTTTAAAACAATAAAGTATTAGGGGATCATTCTGGAAATTTAAAAGACACAATACTGTGTTTCAGAGTTCTTCAAACCACTCCCACACCCCACCCTGTTCTTTTCACTGTGCTGGAGTTTCTCTTTGAATGTCTTTCTCAAGAAAAGAGCTGACCACCCTAGCTAGAAAAGGGTCCCATCTGCTTCATGAACTTATGAACACCCCCAGTCTAGTAGAGTACCAGGGATTGCATAGTACTTAAATATTAAATATAAATATTAAATATTTGTGGAATGAATGAGTACTTTACAACCATGCGAATGTATTCTATGTGCAGGACAGGGAGTAGCTGTTATTTCACTTCCTTTAAAGATCAGGTTTACCAAACTCAAGAATTAACCTCGAGCAGAGAAATCTGAGGGGACAGGACTTTACAGACAAAATGCTAAGTTAAACATACAAATTAAAGAAGAAAAAGAGAGTGGCAGAACTTGCCAATATAATAAATTGCAGCCAACCTACATGAAGGAATTACTAGCTGAAAAAAGTTACAAAAAGTTCTTTTCAGATTGAATAACAACCCAACCACAACCCTATTAAGTACTTTCAACTCCATTTTACAGAAAAAAAAAGTAAGTGGAAAGATTTTGAGTAATATTAAATAAATAAATTAGAAATTTTAATTGAGTCCTCTTTTCTTCATAATCTACCAGAAAATTCATTCTTTTCTTCTTCAAGAGCTTCTAGGTGTAGAAATGTAGATTTTAAATTATCATTATTATTTTTGTATGATCCCTAAAATGACAAACTATAATCAATGTTGAAATATGATTTTAAAAAAGAAGCATACCATGGTCAGCCAAAATGATTATGTTCACACAATTGTGTAAATTCCGCTGTTTTAGGCCCTCCATCAACAATCCAAAGGTACTATCCACTAACTGTAAGGCTTTAAGTAACTAAAATCAAACAAACAAACAAACAAACAAAAAACAGAATTAAGATAGTCTTCGTGAATTGTTTTAATTACCCAAATAATTACTTAATCAAGTAAAAACTAAATACATTCTTTTTCTCTAAAATGGTGGGTTTTTGAAATAGAATTTCAGAGCCCAGCACCCATGCTACCATATTTACCAAATACCAATTCCATAAATATCTATAAACAAAGGATTGAGCTGTATTTCCTATAAAGGAAAATGCTGTACAAGTCAATAAATACATGAAGCAATGTTAAATGTCAAATAAACACTTTTCAACTGTCAATGTTTTCATAAGAATTGCAACTAGTAGAAAGGGGGATCCCAGATAAGCAAAGGGCTATATTCATTCTGGAAGATCATGTGACAATGGGTAACCAGAGAGTTGAAAATGAGCATACTCTGGAATTTAATAATTCTACTTTTGGGCATTTGTCCTAGTAAATACTTAAGGTACACATGGAGATTATATGCAGAGATAGTCATCACATTGTTGATTTGTAATTTGAATCCTGGGGAAAATAAATTATAGCAATGCTTTAGAACACACACTCTACAGCCCTTACAAAACATTTTTAAAAGAACAAAAACATAGGAAAATACTCACAATAGTGAAAAACAAACTGTATACACACCCATATGTATTGCATAATTCTGATTTTGTCCTTAATATATTTAGTATTTCTTAGTAAACACACATGCACAGAAAACTAAAAGAAAATATATCAATTGAAGTTCATTATATTTTATTGTTTATATTCTTTGTCTTATTAGATTTTTCTACACACACACACACACACACACACTACATTGCACTGACCTAAAATTTTAAGTAAATTTTGCTGATATAAACTTTTCAGTAATTTTTTCAGTAAATGAGAAAGTGTAACAGCATTAGATTGGGGAACATGTTTAATTTCTCATAATACTATAATAACAATAATTGTCTTTTTTTCCTCTACTCCTCCTTCTTTCCCTCCCACTCCCCACTGCTTCTCCCCCTCCCTTCTACTTCTTCCTATTCCTTCTTATTCTTTTTGAGAAAAAATTTTACAAGCCAGACAGATTTAAGAGATTCTGTGCATTATCTCATGAAATCCTCACAGCAAACAGGCATGAATATACTATTGTAACTTATGCTATTGGAACTTCCAGCTGTAAGGCCTGGAAACTTGAGGTTTAAAGAAATTAAATAACATATTCGTGGTCCCACTGTTAAGAGACAGGACTTAAACCATGCTGGACATGCTGCTAAACTCACCACTGACTCCAAGGTACTTTCCTGATCTTTCTGACTTGTCAATGAGGTTTCTACCTGTTTTCACAGCATAATATTCCCATTTACATAGTCATTCTACTCATTCCTCCAAAACACACTAAGAACCCATCTTAGCCTCCTATTCTAGCACCCTGGCACACTGCCACCATCTGAGTATGTATTTGCCTCCCAAGAAGGTCAGTACAAGATCTTCCATGTTTCCTAAACCTCTCAAGGTTTCTAAACCTGGAGACTTTTTTTTTTTTTTTTGTATTAGAGATTGAATCTAGCAATACTCTATGACTAAGCTATATTCTCAGAGCATTTATTTTTTATTTTGAGACAGGGTCTCACTAAGGTATCCAGGCGGCCTCAACTTGCAATCTTCCTGCCTTAACCTCCCAAGTAGCTGGGATTACAGATATGCACCATTGCACCTGATTAATTAAAGTCTTTCACAAAGTACACAATCCATAAAACAAAATAGCAGCTTTGGTATGGTAAGGTAATGAACAAGGACATAATGCTTGCAGTGGTGAGGCAAACCAATTTGGGTTGTACACACCATTAGAAACTGTTTCCTCCCATGAAACCATGACTATTTACTCTTACAGTGGACCCTGTGAAAACAGTACAATCCTGGTATAATGATTAAGTGGCAAGAACCCTAATGAACAATTGTGCTTTGGATCCAGCAGGCCCTCTTTGTAAAGCTGATTTCAAGGCTATAGAAGATCCAGTTGGCAGGAAGCTCTCTACAGTCATTACAATGATCTTCTTTTCGAAAGGCACAACATCCTTCTGCACTTATTCTACCCCCCACATGGAGACAGAATAAGTAGAGTTCTTCAGTGTTCTGAAATTCACCCACCACATTCATGAATATAACCAACATTTAAGCCAATCTGTTATAAATTTTTCTTTTCTGAACTTTTTCTTCCCAACTTTTCATTCCATCTAATAAGTAATAATTTCTTTGTCAATAATGAATAACAGTTGAATCTTATTGAAGTATGTAGAACATCATCTGAAGTCATTCATAACCAGTCAGTCCACTCTGCAACCAGTTCATCTTCTATATTTCGACAATCATTGGAATGAATTTGGCATTAAGAAATTCTTGGTTTTACTATATTTCCAATGCCTCTCCTATCTGCCCCTGCCATCCAAATACTAACATCCTCTATTTCCTGCTTTCATGAAGCTTTTTCAAGTTATGTGATACCACAATAATCTTCCCATTTAAAATTGTTTAAGCTACCAAATTTTAATAATTCACAATTTTTTAACCTAATGGCCTCTTTTAACAACAACAACAACAAAAACCCTGATTATATATTTACTCATTATTTCCCTTATTTGTCATTTCAACATGGTGTTTGGCAGTAAAGGCACCATTTCTTTAACCCTAGAAATTCTTAGCACAATATTAGCCTTGTTTAAAGTAGGCTTTAAAAGGATAGCAGAGCAAGAAGTGTTTTGATAACGAAAAAATCTAGAACAATTTAATAAGCTTAGTGAGTGGACCAAAACAAACTAAAATAGTCTTTTTACTTTTTATTTTTATATCATATTAATCCTGAATTCAGGTATTTGATTAAAAATAACAAATAATAATAATAAAGTCATGAAGTCTTTCAAATTTCTCCATTTTGCCTCTTCTTCCTGAGTTTTAAATGAAGCTTGGTATGGAACCAACCTAGGTATCCTTCAACAGATGAATGGATAAAGAAAATGTGGTATATATACAAAATGGAATATTACTTAGCCATAAAGAAAAAGGAAATTATGGAACTAGAGACTATCATGCTAAGTCAAATAAGCCAATCCCCAAAAGCCAAAGGCTGAAAGTTCTATCTGATATGTGGATGCTAACACAAAACAAGGGCGGGGATAGAGACAACAGAAGTTCATTGGATTAGACAAAAGGGAATGAAGGGAAGGGAGGGGGGACAGGTATGGGAAAGACAGTAGAATAAATCAGACATAACTTTCCTACATTCACATATGAATATATGACCATGTAACTCCATATTATGTACAACTACAAGAATGGGAAGTTATACTCCATGTATGTATAATATATTAAAATACACTCTACTGTCATGTATAACTAAAATGAACAAATAAAATTTTTTAAGAAATGAAACTTGGACTTTATTCCTCCTCAGTTTTCACTATTCACTCCATCCTAAGAGTATCTCTACTTCCAGGCACCATCTATTTGCTACCAAACTTCTCTGATCTTTATTTCCTTTGAGCTTTAAATATTCATTCGGTTGCCTTCTGAACATATTCATTTGGATGTCCCTCTACTGCAAATAAGCAACTCTCTTCAACTTATTCGCCAGCAGTGTTCTCATTAATGTAAATGGATCCATCATTATCTACTTGCTGGAGTAAGATAGAAACCAGAAACTCATCATTTCTGTACCACCCGCCTCATCCACCTTATACCAAGTCACACCAAGTCTATCTCCTAAGTGAATCTCAAATGTATCTGTTTCTATCCATGATGGTTGCCACTACCCTAGTATCCAAGTTATTACTGTATCCCTTCTAGAATGTTGCAAAAGCTATTCATTTTCTCCCCACTTTCCCTCTATACAATAAAAATGATCTATAAATACACACAAATATGATCCTTCATTTTCCTGATTATAACACCTCAATGCTTCCTATTGAATTTTTTGTGGCCTGAAAACACTTGCATGATTTGGTGCTGCCTTCTCTGAATTTCCTCTTAGCCCTCTCCTCTGGTTCCTAACTCTCAAGACATTGGTGGGATATTATACTTACAGAGGATTTCAAACTGTACCTGGCACAGAGTAGCATGTGATAAAGGTTAGCTGCTGTTATTTTTATTGTTATCATTATTTATGGAGTCATCTAACCACCAGATTGTCTGTGCATTTGTTCATTATGTGTTCCTCTGGTATCCTCAGCTTCTTCTTCAATTGGGCCATCTTCAAATTATGTTTCCTTTTTGTCACTCAGAGGAGACCCCACTAGCCAGTACCAATTCTCACCCCACTCTGGACCAGAACCTCTTCATAGACTTCTCAGGGCATTCAGATCTCTTCTTTTGCAATGCTTTTCAGAATTAAAACTTACTTGGGTGCTAAACTAGAGCACTGAATGGGGGTGGGAAGAAGGAACTGATACCTAACCTAAGCCAGCTATATTATAGAGGGCAGATAAATACAGATAGAGCATCCCCTCTCAAATGGTTAATCATATCAAACAATTAGACTAGAAAAAAAGAAATACTGAATATGTTTTAGTTCGTTACTGAATAATTTATCTTTAGAGTAAACTGAATTAGGGTAACATTCTGTGATATAGTCTAGAGTGGTACTGCAATACAGAAGAGGCTCACAGTCTTGGTGAGTTCTGAGTAGACTCACTGCTTTGTGATACTTTGTATTAGGAAGGAAGGAAAAAAAATTCTCTGATAAATAGCAAAGGCATGCAGCCAGATTACATATGCTTGCATTCCAATTGAGGACAATTCTTAAATGAGTTTCCATGGGATAGGGAAATGCCATCATACTCATGGGATTTTTTTTGCAGCTTTGCACTATGTCCAAGACCATAAATGCTTTGGTGAAGTTCATAACAGAAAATGACTTTTTTTTTTTTTTTTTTTTTTTTTTCTGAAAGCAGTATTTAAGGACTATATTTGTATGGAGAATCATAGCAGAATGTTCTAACTAATGAAGAAACTAATATTAGAGTCCCTTCCAATGATAAATATGGGCCCAGGAGGACGATGAATGTGCCCAAGGCAATAACATTGTCTAATTATAAGGAACTTATGAATGCAACCATGTATGAGTAGACAGCTGGATATACCACAGAGAACTTGCAAGTGACTTAGTTAGAATTGGGCCACATTAGCATGCCGAATTGACTCATGCAGTATCTAACCCTGATGTTTTCATTTTATGAAATAAAAGAGTGATACTGAAGTATTCAGTGTTTATTAAAAGAATCAAGATGTGGTTAATTAGTCAGTTGTCCTTTCTAGAATTTAAATTGTTTTGTAGTTAAAAAAGCAGAAATCTTTTTAGACTTTCATTTATTTTGAAACTGCTCATGTATTTATCAGATATATTTATGTACAGTAGAAATGATAGGATACTTTTAAAAAAAAATTTGTTGGGTAGGGTTAGATGGTTTTCCATTTGTTTTAAAAATAAAAACTTACTTTGCCACTGACGGGCCCCTCGTCATGTCCTGCAGAATCAGGCTCTTCCACATATATGGTATAAAAATTGGGCCTACGGGTAAAAATTGAACAGAAAGACATTAAAAATTTGGAATAAACCTGTAGCAAAATCTAGGGTTTTGTAGATCTTGAATATGCTAGCCACTCTTTTTCTTTCTGGCTTTCTCCATATTCAGGCCCGTGGTGGCACTTGGCCCCAAATGGAATTGGTTTCCTAACAGGAAGTAAATAAGACCTGCCAGGATGTAAGCATTGGTCTGCCTGAGCTGTGAAAATCTGTCTTTTCTTACAGTTAGGACATCTCTGGGTGTGCCCAAGCCCTTTATACTTCCTAGTTTCTGACTTTTTGCTGGCTTTCTCTTCTACTACACCAAGCCCTTTTTTGGATGTCTGGTTTCTGGTGTGCTGTTTACTTCTAATTCCCTTTCAGAAGACTCTGACTCCAGCCTGTTATCATGGCCTTGTGCAAGCACCTGATTCCTAGGGTCTGTCCTTAGAAGTGAGTGTCAGATCCAGTTTCAGCTCTGCCCTACATCTTCCTACATCTTCCCACATCTCCCACATCTTCCTCTGTGATATTTGCCTCTTTTCTCTTGCACTGGCTCTATTTCTGCAGTTAATAGTCATTGTCAACCATGTCTTCAAGAGCACCAGACCTTAGAAATAACTCTTGAAAAATGCCCATTAAAAGGCAATAGCAAGTATTTTCAAAAATGGTCAGTAAGGATAAAGAAAGAATTCCATTTCTGGCCCAAATGTATCCCATTATGCCAGCACTTCTCTGATACTAGGTATTACCTTTCAGCTTTGGGTAGGTCCAGCCATTTTAATAAAGTAGAGACTCTCTCTCCATATGAGATCTTACTGGAAAAAAAAGAGTAAATATAATTTTAAAAACTTAATTGAATCAAGAATAATTCCATTCTATTCCTCCTCAGGATGATAGGTTAATATCTTCAGATATCTATTTTGTGATCCTATATGATCAAAATATTGAAAGGTATTCAGTATACCCAAAGGATCACTAGTTTCAGTATTTATATATAATACACTAGCAGCACTGTATAGTAAATGTACAATGCTTTGTTTCTTCCTTGTCCTTCTCTCCTTCAATTTTTCCCAACTAAACACTCAGTTTATTAATTTTTATCCAGTTATATATTTATACATATTGAGCATCTATTGACAGACACTATTTGTTCATTTGAAACAAAATTTATCAGTTGAGTAGACCAAAGATTATATTACCACAGAGGAAGACAAGAAACAAACAATATAGTTAATATGCAAATTCCATAGTATATTTAGGGGTGAAAAATGCTTTAGAAAAAAGAAAAACTACAGCAGAGTAAGAGGCCCTGAGAAACTGGGGTGAGAGTGATTTAGAATTCTAAATCTGGGTGTGTTTGAAATAAGACAATATTGAGAATTTTTTAGCACCACTGAAAGAAGTGAGAGCGTGGGCATGTGAATCCAGGGAAGAAGTCATCTCAGGCAGGGGGAAGAGCTGGTGCAAAGGCCTTACAGTGGAAGTAAGGTTGGTGTGCTGAGATCCACTGAGGAAGTCTGAGTGTGCATTAGGGGCAGCAGTCAGACAGCAGGTCTGAAGTGGTGGTTGTCATCTCACAGAGAGTCTTAAAGGCTTTTTACTCTGACTGATCCAGGGAGCCACTGAAATTTTTCATGCAAAGGAGTACCATAATTAGACTTGCATTTTAAAGAAATCTTTTTGGCTGGTTAAATAAGAATAAATTACAGTGGGGAAGAAGCAGAGAAATATATAAAGAGGCAATTGTAGAATATAGCTCAAACCAGAATGGTAACGCTGGAGATTCTGAGACTGCATTCATCTTTGTTGTGGTTTAGATTAGGTATTCTCCAAAAGCTCATGTGTGAGACAATGCAAGAAAGTGTAGAGATAAAATGATTGGGTTATAAAAGGTTTAACCTCGTCAGTGTATTAATGCCCTGATAGGTATTAAGTTGGAGGTAACTGTAGACAGGTAGAGTATGATTGAAGGAGGTGGATCACTGGAGGCATGCCTTTGGATTTTTTATTTGTCCTTATTGAGTGAAGCTGGCTCTCTCTGCTTCATGGTGGCCAAGGGCCATGCTCCCAGCTGCTTTCCTTGCATCACCTTGATCCCTAGGGAATAGAGTCAGCTATCTATGCATGGAGCCCCCAAATGAATTTTTCCTCCTCCACTTGTTCTTGTCAGGACTTTTGATCACAGCTGTGAAAAAACTGACTTAAACAATTGTGAATTACAACCCAAAGCATTTCTGACAGACAGAATGATAGATGAGAGAGAAGAAACAATGACTCCAAGGTATCTGACCCAAACAACCAGAAAAATAGAATTCCCATCAAGATTAAGACAAAAAGGGGCTGGGGTGGAGGAGCTCAGTGTAGAACATGTGATGTGCTTAGCATGCACATGGACCTGGGTTCAATCCCTAGCCATTAACAACAACAAAAAAAAAGACCAAAAAAAAAAAAAATCCTAATCATTTCTGCTTAGATGGGCCCTTATCTGAAAGTGTTTTAATACCCATTGTAATCCTTATATATTGTAGGAAAGGAGCCATTAATAGCCACATCTGATCCTGGCCAGTAGTAGGCAGCAGCTTTTAAACCTTGGTACATTGCTGTCAGCCATATCTATAAAAAGAGAAAACCAAGAATAAGTGAACATCAATAGGATAATTAGTTGGCATTGAAATGGTACAATTTATTGAAAACAACAATTTCAGCAAATTGTAATTGTAATTGCAAAACTTATAATAATTATTAAAACTTGTCTTTGCAGAGGCTAAAATATATAAATGTTCAAGTATCTGCCTCAAAAATTAAGAAATGTGGTAAAGCAGTAGGAACAGGTTCTTTTTTTTCAAACTGATGAAATTATAAGATTCTTCTTTCCCTTTAAAAGAATTGCAAAATATTATGAGGAAAAATCAGATAATTTTTCTAAGTAATTTCTAGATGGATATATTTATAATAGAAAACTCAAGTTTCAACATAAGAGCGAACAATAACAAATGTTGAAATTTTTCAAATAATAATAATAAATAGTGATGAAACACCTTCAGAACCCAGCCCTTGGAGTCAAGATGGAAAATTTAAAACTAAAAATGGAACAAGAAGATTGATCCATTATCACATAGGTATAATGGGGGGTACTCTGGATGCCATGAATAGAATGCTACATACTGGTTGCCCCTTCCACCAGGCTGGGTTATTTTTCTCCTTTGAAGAAAGTGAAAAATTCTTGTTGAGATGTACATCATACATATTATTGTCAATGATACCATGTGATTCTGGATACAAGCCCTAAAATGTAATTTAAAAAAAGAGTGATAAATAAAATTATTTTAGTAATTACTGCTTATTAAAGTCAAATGTATATTTAAGTTAAAAACTGTAAGATCTATAACTCACATCTAGGAAGGATGTCAAGTACCTTTCAATATAAAATACCTGGATCTGAACTCAAATATGAGGTTACCTAGCCAGATATAGACAGTTATTTTGCTTCTAGTTCTGCCATGGTATACAGTAGCAAACAAAGGACATTAGGTGGATGTTCTGCATTGATGGTGTTAGTAACTATTCATCAACAAAGTTGCCCATAATATAATAATAATTATCCACTGTTTATATTAGCAACAGTCATAAGAAATTTACTAGCTAGCATCTTTCAATTACCAAATATTTGACTAAATGAGATTAAAGCTGGTTATCAGTGTTTTAGAAAGAGCCTTCCCAGTCTCTGTCCATCCTCTTTTCCATTCATCCATTCCTCTATCAATCCAATCATTCATTCAAATTATATATAGTCATTCAATTATTCTACACATTTTCATTGAATACCTATTATATCTCCTATAATCATAACTACTTTTAGACAGATTCTAGGGTTATCCATTCAGAATATCACTATTTATATGACATAGATATCATATAAATTAATAGCTTGTATATAATATTTTATTCATATATATGTATGTGTGCATTATATGTATTATGTATTTATATTTATGTGTGTATATGTATATTGTCAATTCTTATTATTCAAGGTAGTTATGTTCTCTAACTTTGTGATGAAAACTGAATTACCAAATACTAAACCATTACTTCTAGGAGAAAACACAGGGTTAGGTTTCTGAAGACCTCTGGCATGACATTTTTGTGTATTGATTATTACATTACCTTCTCTGTTTCTGAAAAATGGCACTTATTTAATATATATTTTTAGCTCACTGTACCCATGCCTGAATGAAGTTTACCTAATGCACGATCTTCTCTGTAAGGCATGTCAAGGCCTTCTTGCTATAGGAACTATAGGTGGCACTTCAGCACTATGATTGGGGGCCATTTTGAATGACAAAATCACCAATAAGAAACACAAACATGAAAAACATGACTGTTGACATCATGAGAACTAAAACAAGAGGACAGGCATGCTGCTTTGTATACCTCAGCTGGGAACATGTGCATCAGGCAACTCACATGGCTCCTGGGCATATTCACAAATGACAAAAATTTGTGGATCAGTGGTTACAAATAAATTTTAGAAAGCAGATGAATTTGAAAACACAAAATCTGCAAACAATGAGGCTATATACATACAAACATACAATTATTTAAAATTTTAATCAGTCATAGTTATCATTCCATAGTAATAAAATACTATTATGCAAAATAGTAAAGACACAAATATCTTTTGGTGATAAAGGCTGAAGCAGAGGACTCATAAGATGTGTTCCAAATCTATAAATCTTAATTTTCCTTTGAGTTCATTTGAATAATTTCAGTTACATCTTTTCATGTATTAAGGAAAATTTACCCTTTTTAGTTGTTTTATCTAAAGAGATGTTGTTTATCTAAAGAATCAGTATGAGTTCATTCATGAAACATAAGTCTTTATTAAGTTAGACATCATAAAAAGACTAATGAAAACAACATTTCCACATCACAGTGGTGATGAAGTTTACCTAACCCATGATCTTCTCCATAAGGCATGTTGAGTCCTACTTGCTATAGGAACACCAGATGGCACTTCAGTATTATGACTGGGGGGCATTTTAAACAGGAAAATAACCGATAAGAAGCACATATAACCTACCATTCTCAGTAGACCTTCAGTTAAATAAAGGGCAATAAAAAGGCCAGAGGAGAAAGGTATTTCACAGAAGTTATTCTGGCCTCACACAAAGGTGAATTAACCAAATGCAAGGACACTCACTCATAGTTAATGTCTCACAGCACACTGCAGCCTCCTGTTGAACCATGCCTCCCCAGCTGAATTAGCCATGAACTATCATTGCATGTACTTGTGAAGTATGTGGCCTGGAATTGGACAGTTCTTGCCCAATCACATTTGTCTGACATGGTTGGTTTCCTATCTGTGGCCTGTTAGTCTTCCCACTGGGCAAAGCACTTACCGTGACAATGGTGTAATGATTTGGGAAGGTTTTGGTAGGATATACAGCTCTCATGTATTTTGAATGAATTCCACATGTTTCTGGAACAAAGTACAGTGAGAAATTAGAAAGATGTCTCTTCCTTAGAAATATCTTGAATAATTAAAAATCTGAACATGATCTGGGCACAGTGGCACATGCCTGTCATCACAGCTACTCAGGGAAGCTGAAGCAGGAAGATCACTAATTTGAGGATAGTGTGGTCAACTTAGTGAGACCTATGTCAAAATAAAACAAAAAGGGCCAGGGATGTAGCTCAGTTGTAAAGTGCTTTCCTAGCATGCACAAGGTCAGGGGTTCAATCCCCAGCACCATTAAACAAACGAAGAATAGCCTGAACATGAAGGGTTTTCCCAGTAAACTAAAGAGTGGATCGAATAGGGAAATAGGTTGAAATCCTGACCCCTAACTTCTTCCATTCCAAAGAATGTCAGTTTTTAGGGAAGGAATGAGATACATCAAGGCCAATAAAATTTTTCTGTGAAGAGCCAGATAATACATATGGTTTCTGTTGGAATAGCTCAACTCTGCCATGAAGCTACCAAAGCACTCATAGGCAATACACAAACTAATGAGCATGACTATGTTCTAATAAAATTTTATTGGTGGACATTTGAAACTTATTTTCATATTACAAGATATTCTTTTATTTAAAAAAACATTTAAAATGTAGAACAACTCTTAGCATATGACAGGCAATATGAAATCAAGCAGAGCAAGCAGGATTTGGCCTGTTTGGATTGCTGATCCCTGAGCTAAAGGTAATCTAAATTATACACTTAATTTGCTTTTTCTTTCTGACTCTGGTCATTACAGTAAGAATCTCTACATATCATGGCTTCTCAGCTTATTATTCTTATATGTAAAGTCTCCAACATAATAAAAATCAACACAACTGTCTAGGTAACTAAAGAGGGATTTGACATGTACAATTATATAAGCCCATGCCAATAGTAATGTTTGCAAAATGAGCTAACTTTACTGCTTATTATTTTCAATTCAATTCCCATTTGATCTGTAAAGTTTCCTGTACTCTGTTGTTCACATAATATGGCATTAATTTTGCTTTCATTGTTCTGTTATTTTCAATCTGTGCAGTAACCTTGTTCAAGGAGGTCAGAGCTACTGGAGCACATTGCTATTTCTTTTGCAGCAATAAAGTCCAAGAAATTTTCCATACCCAAATCCCACTGCCTCTAATTCTAAAGGAAAGTTTCCCAGTTATAGACTCTATTTAGGTTAAAAAAAAAAAAAAGTAAAATTGTTGGGCAAAAAGTAACAAACTTGCAGCTGGAAACAATGAATGTTTTCCCAAACAAGCATGTGGTTGGTCTCCTTCCCAGCCTCTGTTCAGTATTTCCAATACAATCCAGGAATTTCTTCCTTCTGAATCTAGTCCCTATAAAGTTCACTACATAGGACCATTTGATAGGAAACAAGGAGATGGGGAAAAGGGAATTCAAAAAGTTTACATTTTTAATAGTCACGCCAGATGATCCTGATATACCTGAGTTTGAAAGCTGCTCTGACACTTGATTTATAAGGCATGATTTAAAATTAAAATAAACTTTATTTTTCTCTTTTTGTCAACAACATCAATAAATAATTCATGTCTTCAGTTAGGAGAAGACACATTTAATATTGTTGAAAAGTCGTATGATAAGAAAATATAAAGGGGGCTAATCCTCTTGCATAATTGAAGAATTTAAGTGGTTGAAAAAGTTATAGAATGAACCAAGATATAAAGTCAGTTTTTTTTTTTTATTTCCTTGGGTAGCAAACTCAAATTCTTTAATGCCTTAGGGTACAAAATAACACATAAACTAAGCCATAGTGTATAAAGTAAAATGTAAACTAAGCTATAAGTACAGAGTAAACATGACACTGTTCTAGTTATAATGTTCTAAACAGGACACATCTCCTGACTACCTATAGACCCAGGTTACTATTTTGCATTTGAATCAGGCTACTGCAGAACAGTCCATAAGAAACATGGTCTTCCAAAACTGTTTCTTCCAAAACTTAATAATCAAATTTATGATCAAATAGAATACTATTGGAAAGATGTGAAATAAACCAATGAGTAGTTGTTTCTGTAGAAGAAAAAAGAAGATGATCAGGAAAAAAGGTATTTGTTTTTACTATATATACTTTAATATTGCTTTGAAATGTATACCATATGCACAATTTATTTCTAGAAAACCATTTGTGTGTGTGTGTATGTGTGTGTACATGCACACGTGTATGCATACTTATGAGGAGTACTGGCGATTGAACACTAGCCCTTGTTTGGCGAGCTCTACTTTTGAGTTGTATCCCCTACTCTTTTTATTCAATTTTGAGAGAGTATCTCACTAAGTTGTCCAGGCTGACCTTGAACTTGTGATACTCCTGCCTCAGCCTCCCAAGTAACTGGGATAACAAATATGCATCATCATATCCAGTTACAAAATCGTTTTTTAAAAAAGAAAATACTGAACAAAAATAACCTGAAAATATAAATGGGACACACATATGTAACTAGGCTTACAATAGTTATATACTACAAGAAGGAACAGAAGACTAAATGGATGAATAGATGAAGTAGCCAAAGAATATGCAGATCAAAACTACAATGTAGTTTTTACAAAGTGTTATTGATTATGGTATTCTTACAAATGGAAAACATAGAAAATAGCTCAGCAATATTCATAGGTCAAAATAGGTACTTTTCATTTTACACATTTTCTTCTGAAAATACTAGCCATATGGTTGACCTGTGTCACTTCCAGCACTCAAATCAATAAGTTCTGCAGAACCTCTGATCTTCCCAGTAGTTGCATGTCTGCATCCAAACCCTTGGCACATAGATGATAAAAGGTAGAAGGAAGACAGAAATGATATCAGTAATATGGCAGAATAGGAAGCTCTGGGGTCTTCTTCCCACCACAGACATAACCATTTAATAGCAATACATGGATCAATTCCCTTTGTGAAAAACCCAGAAACTACTTCAGAGTCTCCTGTAGACCAACAAAGTGTGAAACCAGCCATATCAAAACTAGTAGCAGAAGTGGAAACATATCTTTTTCATAATCCCCATCCTTAGTAGGTCTTACACAATTTGGAGGGAACCCCAAGATACTGTCATACTATCTGGTAACAATCCCAGTTTCTCCCCAAGAGGGAAAGAACTGAACTAGATGTTTACTATCCAACTTTCCAAGTGCTATAAAAGGGACTAGCTTCTATCTCACTGTCTTGAAGAGTGGGTGGGACCATAAAGTAGGGCCCTGGGGGATACAGTGAACAAAGAGGAGGTTTAAACTAGCATGTAGACATTTGCTGTAGCTCCTTCCTCTGATTTAGCTCAGAGTGAGTAAGTAATAAACTATAACTTCTAGCTTCTTCCTGAGGAGGAAAAGAATTAGACCACATGTCCATTGCCATAGTTTTCCAGAGGGTTCCCAAAGGCCTGCCCTCTGTCTTTTCAGTCTTATAGCACTAAGAGGACCCAGCGTAGGTAAAGAATCTGGGAGCCAGTTACCACAAAGACAATGATTTGATCTAACATGGTAGTAATCATATCCTCTCCCCCTGGCTCATCACTGAGAAAACAGACAATACCCCTAATATTTCAAATTATTCCTGGGAACAGAAAGAGTTAGAGTGTTTAAAGAGTGTCTAATGATCTAACTTCTCTGGTGGCTGCCTGAGGAGCTAGTTTCGGTCTTGCTTATCTCAAAACATTAAGAGGACTTGGCATACACCAGATTAGGGGGTGGGGGTAGACCTAAGAACAAAGAAAGAAGATTAAACTAGCATAAAGTTTTGAGGAACTTCCAGAATCTCTGACCAGATTGATTGATGAGGGTTTCTTTTACACAAGGCCAGTCTATTAAGATTGGTGTCTAATGTATAGACACCAACACAGAATATAAAGGAAAAAAAGAAACAAAGAAATATATTCAAAACAAAGGAACAAAATTAATCATAAAAATTGAACCCAATGAAGCAGAGAAGTATGATTTACCTAACAGACAATTCAAAATAACTATAATAAAAGTTCTCATTGAGATGAGAAGAACATGTATGCACACAATGAGAATTTCAAGAATTTTTAAGAGACAAACAATATTGAAAAGTACCAAATGGAAAACAGGGATCAGAAGACTATAATAACTACACTTAAAAATGAAATAGAGGAGTTTAATTGCAAACTAGATAAAGAAGAAGAAACAACTCCAAACTCAAAGACATGTCTTTGGGAAATATTCATACAGAAGAGTAAAACTAAAATTTTAGAAGGAGGAAGAGGAGGAGGAAGAGAAGAAGAAGAAGAAGAAAAAGATTAAGACACTTGTGGGACACCATCAAGTAGACCAACATATGCAGTATGGAATTTTTTAAAGGAAAAGAGAAACAGAAAAAAAATCAGAGAGTGTGTTCAAATAAATAATGGCCAAAAGCTTCTAAATATGAGAAGAAAATGAACATGCCGGATTAGGAAATCTAAAGGATCTCCAAAGAGATGAACTTTAGGAAGTCCACATCAATGCAGATAATAACCAAATTCTCAAAAGACAAAAAAAGAATTTTGAAAACAGCAAGAGAAAGGTGACTCCAAAATATGAGGGAAACTCTATAAGACTATCAGCAAAATTTTCAGCAGAAACTGTAAAGCAGAAGGGAGTGGAATACAATAGTCAAAGTACTGAAAGAAAAAAATTTAAAAACTGCCAAGTAAGAATGTTCTCTCCAGCAAAACAGATCTTCCAAAAATGACAGACAGAAATAAAAGCAAGAGAGGGTGGATGGGGATACTTTTCCATACAAATAAAAGCTGTGGGAGTTCATCACCACTAGAACTTGCAGAAGTAGGAGTTCTTCAACTTGAAACAAAGGACACTACACATCAAAACATAAGAAAGTATAAAATACAGTGCTAAAGTCAAATATATAGACAAATGCAGATGCTATATTATTGTAAAGGTAGTAGATAAGTCATTTTAAATCCTAGAATAAAAGTTAAAAGCATTAAAAATAATTATAAGTAAATGAT